GATCTATTAATAACCTCTGAGGGAACATGACCCCTATCTGCCCAGAGCTGCGCGTCCATCCTGCTCCCTATCCAAGGCTTGCAATGATCAGACTCGTATCCTACACTGACCAGAGACAAACGCAGGCCACGGAGCTTCCTGTCAGCGCACACCAGGAAATACTGCTTCTCTAAAACAATCTGATATGGAGCCAACAAAGGAACACAGTCCATATCACCCTGTAAACACTCAGCAATGTGACATACAGGGGAGATATATACTAAAAGTGGAGTAATCACCATGGAAACCAAATTAATTGTAACGGACCGTTTTGCACAAAAGGGGAAAAAACCACTTAGACGATAATCCCCCTTTTCAGAGACAGGCACAGCTACGGTATAATCACCAAAACTCACGAACCGCCAATAAGTGAATGCTCCAAACTCCCGAACGGCATACAAGGGAATAAGGTAGCACTTCAAATAAACTAACAGGAACCATACGAATAGCTGCTAGCAGGCGAACAGGAAAAGCTTCCAAGCGGCTTACACTCCTGGCAATCAGTCCTTAGCAGCATACAGTAAATCCCCCCAAAGACGAGACAAGGCTCCGTGTTGAGGGTCAAGCAGTGGTCTGTTTTAATGAGGGCTACCTGCCCAGTATTTATGCAGGTCTCCCACCTGGTGGACACTCCCCTAGGGGACCAAATGGGAGACTGTGACAAGGGACAGACAAGTATACAAAAAGGACACACAGTCACAGTATATTCACACAATGCATCCTGGCTTCCTCCCCTCTGCCCTGGGAGATAATTGGGAAGTAATTCAATTATCTCCCAAGACAAAGGCAAAACTCCATTACACACGTGGGAACACAAAACAGCATTATACTTTAAAATGCACAAAGTAACATTTACTACATTAAACACAGGCATGTAACACATCCCCAGATAGCTCAGGTCTGAGTGCACATTATTAGGTGAATGGCACTAAGACTACACGAATACAGTTCAATCGCCATGGAGCCAAAGTCTTTACAGTCAGTTTCATACGAAGGGGCTCCATGGGATTCCTATCTGGGGTATAAGAAATTCACACAAAAATACCGAACACCGGGTCATTCGTGTGCTTTCACCGAACAAGAAGGGAGGTCGGCGGCTTCAGCGGTGTTCGCGCAAAACTGTGTCCGATTTTAGTTCCATAAAAATAGAGGCGAACACCGCTGTTCATTCGTATGGTTTAAAATGGCCGCGACCTCGTGTTCGGGATACGAACGGCGGCCACCCAGCGTTCATCAATTAAGCTGCGGTTAACTGCAGCTTCAGGAGGTTAATTGCCGGCACACTCCAGCTCCCAGGTGGTCCAGTCATTCGTACGGTTGTTCGGTAGATTGAAACTACCGAACAACCGGCAGAAAAGCATGAATATGGCTTTTCTGCATGGAAAAATAAAGTCTTTTAAAAGGGGGCCATAGTCCAAAGGCAGCAGGCGAGCACCCAGGCTTCTCCAATGCAATGTGGCGAGATTGGTCTCGTCACATCTCTCCCCTTTTCCAAACAGACTAACAGGGTATCTGACCTCCTGCCGGTCAGTGCCCTTGTTAGTCCAGCAGCCCACCCACAAAACATAATCAACAGCACAGCCCACCCACAATAAATGGCTACTACACCTGGGTAAAGGAGAAGCTTGTCCATGTCCAGGTGCCTCACCACGGCTGTGCTGGGTACGGGTACGCTGACTTGGTGGGTTGCTGCGTGGGCAGAGACCAGAGGCACTCTGCCCTGTTGCCAGCGCTACTGGGAGGGTAGCCTGGTGGAAGCCTGGTTGTTGGAGGGGGAGACCGACTGTCTCCCCTTTAAATACACCGCTCTGCTGCTGCTGCTGGAGACTGACCGTCTCCCCTTTAGCTGCACAGTCCTGCTGCTGGAGACCGACCGTCTCCGCTTTGGTTACCCATCTCTGCTGCTGGAGGGGGAGACCGATTGTCTCCCCTTTGGCTAAACAGCCCTGTCGCTGGGGGGCAGGACCGACCGTCCCTACCCCCTGTGCTGGCAGTGTAGAGACTACGGTCCCATCTGCACGGTTGTGGGGCTTACTGTCTCCCCTTTGTACATTAAGCTGCCGCTGGGGAGAGGGGGTAACAAGCTCCTCTCCCATACATACTTCCAGCTGTGGGGAAGGGAGACCGACTGTCTCTGCTCCCAATACAGAGTCCTGCTGCTGGGGAATGGAGACGGGGCTCCCAATTCCCAATAATCTGTGCTGCCGCTGGGGAATGGAGACTGGGCTCCCAATTCCCAAAGCATCATACTGCCGCTGGGGAATGGAGACTGGGCTCCCAATTCCCAAAGCATCATACTGCCGCTGGGGAATGGAGACTGGGCTCCCACTTCCCAAAAAATCACGCTGCCGCTGGGGAGGGAGGATACTGCTCTCCTCTCCCTGGACTTCCCACTGCCTTCCCGGCATATCACTTGGCTGCTGGGGGACAGGAACAACTACCTCTGCCCCCTGTAACTCAGCCTGCCGCTGGGGAATGGAGCTCAGGCTCCCAATTCCCTGCAATATCTCCCGCTGGGGAATGGAGCTCGAGCTCCCAATTCCCTGCAATTTCTCCCGCTGGGGAATGGAGCTCGGGCTCCCAATTCCCTGCAATTCATTCTGCTGCTGGGGGACAGGAGCTACTATCTCTGTCCCCTGTAACTCAGCCTCCCGCTGGGGAATGGAGCTCGGGCACCCAATTCCCTGCAATTTCTCCCGCTGGGGAATGGAGCTCAGGCTCCCAATTCCCTGCAATATCTCCCGCTGGGGAATGGAGACTGGGCTCCCAATTCCCAATAAATCACACGGCCGCTGTGGAATGGAGACTGGGCTCCCAATTCCCTGCAGGACCGGTGGAGAGACCTCGGTCCCATCTCTACCGGCCACCTGGGGTTCTTCCCAGAAAATATCCACAATGTCTTCCCAGCTGAATGGGTCTGGTTCTGGGTCTGTCATGCTGCTCTCCCACTGAGCCTTCTCACTGTATTGGAACAGCTGCTGGTAGCCCTGTTCTAGCTCCATCTCCCGGGTTACCAGGTGGACCAGGTCTTGCTCAATTTCGTGAGTGTCGTCCCAGTCATACCTGCTCTCCCTCCACTCCAAAAGATCACTGAAACGGGCTTGTGTAGGGCTCCCAAATTCGAGCTCTGAAAACGACTCCCATAACAAGCCAGGACCATCAAACTCCTCTCCCTCTGGCTTGTCATGCTCGGCTGTCCAGGGCAGGTACTGTGCCCCATACCACCAGAGCGCCTGGTAGGCATCTTCTAGCCATAACTCCTGCCATACTAGGTGTTCCAATTTCCTCACCCATTCCTCCAGGGGCTGCTCTCCCAGGAAGGGCATCCGCAGGGCTACTCGCTTCTGCAACCGCTGGTCTTCCTTGGGGAGTCTCTTGCCCCGCTGGTACTCCACAATACCTAGTGCCTGGTACCAGATGCCTTTACGGACTGCATCTCGGTCATCCATGGCACCCTCGTCATACTCCACTGCTGGTTCCATGCTGGTGCTGTCAGGGTCGCTGTACTGGGACATGCGTTGCCCTCAAATTGTAAAATCCAAAGAAAGGTGTTGCCTGTAGCTGTCCTGTAGTCTGTGGGAACGATCCCGCCGCTTGCCACCAATTGTAACGGACCGTTTAGCATAAAAGGGGAAAAAAACCGCTTAGACGATAATCCCCCTTTTCAGAGACAGGCACAGCTACGGTATAATCACCAAAACTCACGAACCGCCAATAAGTGAATGCTCCAAACTCCCGAACGGCATACAAGGGAATAAGGTAGCACTTCAAATAAACTAACAGGAACCATACGAATAGCTGCTAGCAGACGAGCAGGAAAAGCTCCCAAGCGGCTTACACTCCTGGCAATCAGTCCTTAGCAGTATACAGTAAATCCCCCCAAAGACGAGACAAGGCTCCGTGTTGAGGGTCAAGCAGTGGTCTGTTTAATGAGGGCTACCTGCCCAGCTTTTATGCAGGTCTCCCACCTGGTGGACACTCCCCTAGGGGACCAAATGGGAGACTGTGACAAGGGACAGACAAGCATACAAAAAGGACACACAGTCACAGTATATTCCCACAATGCATCCTGGCTTCCTCCCCTCTGCCCTGGGAGATAATTGGGAAGTAATTCAATTATCTCCCAAGACAAAGGCAAAACTCCATTACACACGTGGGAACACAAAAACAGCATTATACTTTAAAATACATAGAGTAACATTTACTACATTAAACACAGGCATGTAACACATCCCCAGATATCTCAGGTCTGAGTGCACATTATTAGGTGAATGGCACTCAGACTACACGAATACAGTTCAATCGCCATGGAGCCAAAGTCTTTACAGTCAGTTTCATACGAATGGGCTCCATGGGATTCCTATCTCCCACTGCAGGGTGACACAGACAGAAGGAGCTATGGGACACGGAGTCTGTCCCTGTCCCAGGGTGACTATGCACGGGTCTGACTGCAGGGTGACACAGACAGAAGGAGCTATGGGACACGGAGTCTGTCCCTCCCACTGCAGGGTGACACAGACAGAAGGAGCTATGGGACACGGAGTCTGTCCCTCCCACTGCATGACACAGACAGAGCTATGGGACACTGAGTCTGTCCCTCCCACTGCAGGGTGACACAGACAGAAGGAGCTATGGGACACGGAGTCTGTCCCTCCCACTGCAGAGTGACACAGACAGAAGGAGCTATGGGACACGGAGTCTGTCCCTCCCACTGCAGGGTGACACAGACAGAAGGAGCTATGGGACACGGAGTCCGTCCCTCCCACTGCAGGGTGACACAGACAGAAGGAGCTATGGGACACGGAGTCCGTCCCTCCCACTGCAGGGTGACACAGACAGAAAGAGCTATGGGACACGGAGTCCGTCCCTCCCACTGCAGGGTGACACAGACAGAAGGAGCTATGGGACACGGAGTCCGTCCCTCCCACTGCAGGGTGACACAGACAGAAGGAGCTATGGGACACGGAGTCCGTCTCTCCCACTGCAGGGTGACACAGACAGAAGGAGCTATGGGACACGGAGTCCGTCCCTCCCACTGCAGGGTGACACAGACAGAAGGAGCTATGGGACACGGAGTCTGTCCCTCCCACTGCAGGGTGACACAGAGGGAAGGAGCTATGGGACACGGAGTCTGTCCCTCCCACTGCAGGGTGACACAGACAGAAGGAGCTATGGGACACAGTCTGTCCCTCCCACTGCAGGGTGACACAGACAGAAGGAGCTATGGGACACAGAGTCTGTCCCTCCCACTGCAGGGTGACACAGACAGAAAGAGCTATGGGACACGGAGTCTGTCCCTCCCACTGCAGGGGTGACACAGACAGAAGGAGCTATGGGACCGCGAGGTCTGTCCCTCCCCACTGCAGGGTGACACAGGAGCAAGGCAGCTAGCATGGGACCGCGAGGTCTGTCCCTCCCACCTGGGGTGACAGACTACAGAAGGAGCTATGGTACCGCAGGTCTGTCCACTCCCACTGCAGGGGTGACACACAGACAGAAGGGAGCTATAGAACCGAGGTCCTGTCCCACCTCCCACTTACAGAGTGACACCAGACAGAAGGAGCTATGGGACAGGTCTGTCCCTCCTGCAGGGTGACACAGACAGGAAAGGAGCTATGGGACCGCGAGGTCTGTCCCTCCCACTGCAGAGTGACACAGACAGAATGAGCTATGGGAGACTGAGTCTGTCCCTCCCACTGCAGAGTGACACAGACAGAAGGAGCTATGGGACACGGAGTCTGTCCCCCCCACTGCAGGGTGACACAGACAGAATGAGCTATGGGAGACTGAGTCTGTCCCTCCCACTGCAGGGTGACACAGACGGAAGGAGCTATGGGACACGGAGTCTGTCCCTCCCACTGCAGAGTGACACAGACAGAAGGAGCTATGGGACACGGAGTCTGTCCCTCCCACTGCAGGGTGACACAGACAGAAGGGAGCTATGGGACACGGAGTCTGTCCCTCCCACTGCAGGGTGACACAGACAGAAGGAGCTATGGGACACGGAGTCTGTCCCTCCCCACTGCAGAGTGACACAGGAAGGGCTATGGGACCGCGGGTCCGTCCACTCCCACTGCAGGTGACACAGACAGAGGAGCTATATGGGACAGTCCGTCCCTCCTCCCACTGCAAGGGTGACACAGACAGGAAGGAGCTATGGGACACTTGAGGTCTGTCCCTCCCACTGCAGAGTGGCCTGGGTGGGAGCTATGGGACATGGAGTCCGTCCCTCCCACTGCAGGGTGTGACACAGACAGAAGGGGAGCTATATATGGGACACGAGGTCAGGTCCCTCCCACTGCAGGGTGACACAGACAGAAGGGAGCTATGGGACCGCGAGGTCCGTCCCACTCCACTGCAGGGTGACACAGACAGAAGGAGGCTATGGAACCGCAGTCCAGGTCCCTCCCACTGCTGGGAGTGACACAGACAGAAGGGGCCATGGGACGGTCCGTCCCTCCCACTGCAGGTGACACAGACAGAGGAGCTATGGGACAGTCTGTCTCTCCCACTGCAGGGTGACACAGACAGAAGGAGCTATGGGACACGGAGTCTGTCCCTCTCACTGCAGGGTGACACAGACAGAAGGAGCTATGGGACACAGAGTCTGTCCCTCCCACTGCAGGATGACACAGACAGAAGGAGCTATGGGACACACAGTCTGTCCCTCCCACTGCAGGGTGACACAGACAGAAGGAGCTATGGGACACAGAGTCTGTCCCTCCCACTTCAGGGTGACACAGACAGAAGGAGCTATGGGACACAGTGTGTCCCTCCCACTGCAGGGTAGCACAGACAGAAGGAGCTATGGGACACGGAGTCTGTCCCTCCCACTGCAGGGTGACACAGACAGAAGGAGCTATGGGACACGGAGTCTGTCCCTCCCACTGCAGGGTGACACAGACAGAATGAGCTATGGGACACGGAGTCTGTCCCTCCCACTGCAGGGTGACACAGACAGAAGGAGCTATGGGACACAGTCTGTCCCTCCCACTGCAGGGTGACACAGACAGAAGGAGCTATGGGACACGGAGTCTGTCCCTCCCACTGCAGGGTGACACAGACAGAGGGAGCTATGGGACACGGAGTATGTCCCTCCCACTTCAGGGTGACACATACAGAAAGGAGCTATGGGACACGGAGTCTGTCCCTCCCACTGCAGGGTGACACAGACAAAAGGAGCTATGGGACACAGAGTCTGTCCCTCCCACTGCAGGGTGACACAGACAGAAGGAGCTATGGGACACGGAGTCTGTCCCTCCCACTGCAGGGTGACACAGACAGAAGGAGCTATGGGACATGGAGTCTGTCCCTCCCACTGCAGGGTCTCTCCTGTTACAATCCAGCGTTTCCTTGAAGCGTCCATTATCACTTGTTATGGAGCTTTGTGGGGTGTTGAGATTTCTAATTGAGTGTCTGGCTGTCTCTGGTATCCTGGGAAATGTCTCTCCCTTGAATGGTATTTGCACTCTCAGACTTTATGAGGTTATAACCTCTCCATGTGTACCCTCTCGCTTCTCCATCAATATAAAACCCTTTAAAGGGACTAATTCTCATAGCATTCGGCACGTAGCCATTGCTTAACCCTTTCATGGGTCACTAGTGGAATAATGAAAACCTTAAAATGCTGTCTTGATATGAATATTCCTCCTCAAGTTCTGTTCTATTTAGATATGTGTGTATATAACGCTGGCTTGGGCGTCGAGGAAAAGGTGACACTCTAGTTCCCAGGAGGATAAATCTCTGGCTCGGTGTTACAGGGTTAATTTAATTTCTAAGGTTACCGGCGTGTGCTGTGCATTTAATGGCTGGATATTAAATCCTTGCGCCTGTAACATTCCCTGCTTTCTCTGGCAGATTAAATAGACCGTCTGCGAATATTCATATCCCGTATGATAGAGGATAAAAAAAAAAATCCCATATTTATCATGGAGGGCAGGGGGGGGTAAGGGTTACCCCTTAACCCTTTGAGAACTGACGTCAATCATCTCTTCTTTCAGTAAATTGATCATGTGCCAATATGTGGTTAATAAAATGCCATTTTCATTTAAATCTTATTATTTAATGTTTATAAAATTTTCAAATTAAAAATTCGAAGGAGAGCGAGTTGTGTTCATTTTGTTCACAGCTCCCTCTTGGATCCCTCGGTTTCGTCGTCTCACCATATGCTTTCAATCTTCTCTAACATGTCTGGGAGGCTGGGGAAAGTCACGAGAGATGGAGAGAGCAAGCGAGCGAGGGGAGGAGGGCTGCAAAGCATTCTGGGATATATCTTTTTTACTATCAAACTACTACATTATCTCTTATGTGTGAATTTATTCTTTTTTTTTAACTGACCACTTGGTCCAGTGTAGTCGCCTTTATGTAGATGGCTAGCTCTGCTGTCAAGGGCTATTCACCCCAGATAACTAGGAGAATATGTCTTCTGTGCAATAAATAGCAATCTATACCAGTGATTCAGTTTGTTTACGTTGTTATATTCCCTCATTTTCTTTCAAAGCAGGCTGTGTTTATTTTTTTTATGGAGAAAGATCGAATAGAAATAATATAAATTATTTGCATTTTCTGTCCACCAGCCCTGCAGCGCCTGAAATGAACAAGCTGCGTCAGAGCCTGCGGCGGAAAAAGCAAACGTATGTCCCGGAGGCTAGTCGACCCCACCAGTGGGGGGCAGATGAAGAGTCTGTGAGGAGGGGGAAATGCAGCTTCCCTGTGCGGGTGAGTAAAGATATGAGAAGATAACCGTACAGAAGCCATTAAACGTCCCTTTTTTTCCAGTGCAGAGACAGACTCCTCGCTGCACTTCTCTTACAGACATGGCGCATGCGCAACACTGATTGAGCCAACCATTGGACTCAAACAGCATCCGGCATATGTTGACACTGGATGTCAAATTGATTCAATCATTGAATCTATTTCTGTCTGAAGCCCCTAGTGGCTGTCTGTGTGAATGACATCCACTTGTAGATATATAAATTATAGAATGTAAACGGAACTGTTCATTAAAAACTAGGCAATGCATCCTTTAAAGGGATCTTGTAGTGCCAGAAAAACAAACCGTTTTCCTGGCACTATAGGCTCTTGGAGAGCCCCCCCTCGCTTGGACCCCCCTCCCTTGGCGCTGAAGGGGTTAAAACCCTTCAGCCACTTACCTTAACCAAGCGCCGGGCTCCCTCAGCGCTGGTGACCTCTCCTCCCCTTCCGACGTCAGCTCCGCATGCGCGGCAAGAGCCTGGTGCGCATTCATACTGCCCATAGGAAAGCATTACTCAATGCTTTCCTATGGACGTCCAGCGTCATCTCAGTGTGATTTTCACAGTGAGAATTGTAGAAGCGACTCTAGTGGCTGTCAGGGAGAGAGCCACTAGAGGCTGGATTAACCCTCAGTGTAAACATAGCAGTTTCTCTGCTGCAGGGTTAAAACTAGAGGGACCTGGCACCCAGACCATTCCATTGAGCTGAAGTGGTCTGGGGGCCTATAGTGGTCCTTTAATCACCACCAGTAGACCTCTGCTCCCAAAATTCCATTAATCAAGGTGGAACAAGAATATTTCCTGCAAATTCCAAATGATGGCACAGAATGTTTTCAATTTTTATGACACTTGAAATTAAAAAAGGCTGGGCGGCATTGATAATGCTACAGCAACCAATCCCAAATAACAAAATGTAAATAAGAAACTCACATCTGAAGTTGCTGTATCTGCAATAAACTCCCAGGATTTGTAATTACAGACCTGAACAGCCAATCAGAATGCTTGAATTCCTTTCTATGGACTTTTCAAAGTGCCGATTCTATCTTATAAATCACTGCGCAGCAAGGCTTCGTGGGTAAAGCGGGGGCTTCAGAGAGTTGTAGTCCGATTCTCAGATTTTATTTATGAATGTTATGACATGAACAGTATCACTGGAGAAACACTGCTGACTGGAGGGACAGAAAGGGATGTCACATACCAATTGCAGTAACCGAGTGTTTCACAGTGACCGAGGACGTAACCCGGGTGTTAGCCAACATTTGGGTTTTGTAGTTGATGTGACCCGTCCAAACAGCATAATGTAAAACACATTGGAACAAACTCCGATTTAAAACAAACTGTCTTGATTTTCCAACCAGCCGTGTAAAATCCTCTAAAAGTGAAGATTATAGAATACGTTATATTAGTTCTTCTAAATTGGATAAATCACACGCAGATGGAAATTAAATTAACATTTTAATTAAATTCAGAATACATCTGCTACAATTATTTAACAATTATACCAACATTATAATATATCTTAAATTTCAAAAGAAGCTAAATATTGAAACTTTTAAAGGAACACTCTGGGCACCATAACAATGTCACTCCACTGCCCATTAAAAAGATTGTTTAGTAGATATAATGAACATTTAATTATGCATTCTCTCATGGAAGGTATATCTCAAAACAGCTTGTAAAAGCTGTACATCTCTTGTCTGAAGCCTTTACAAGCCCTCCCCTTCTAACCTCGCCCAGTCTTTCTGTGGCTGTCCAATCACAGACTTCCCAATGCAGCTCAATGAGAAGTCTTTGCAAGGCAGGAGCTCTGGGCAATTGCTGCCTCTTGAGTTCAATGCAAATAATCTAACCAAATTAAAGCATTAAAGCATGAATTGTGCAAAATTAACAAGGGAACCACAATAGCTATATTCAGTATTTAGCTAATTTATGGAGTTTCTCTCATCTGTTTTTGGTTGTTTAAAACTCCGGCCTCAGCTTTCTGTAATTCATGGTTTAATTAATAGAACTTTGCTACGTCATCCACTGCAGGGAACCTCACTGGTAAAACTGAAATAAAACCGGATCGACCCTTTGTAACAAACCCACCGAAAATATAACTGGGTGATGTCCAGAGCAAAATAGAGCTCTTCATGACTACCTGGTCTATTCGATAGGGGATTATCCCCCCGGTGGGATGTCTTCTCCTGCGGAGTCTGTTGTACAATGTATAATATACAGGATATCCTGTCCGCTTACCCCTCCTATGGTCACACTTGTCTATGTACCCATGACCAACCCTCTGACTATTGACCTATTTTGTGTCTGCAGTACTTGGGTCACGTGGAGGTGGAGGAATCGAGAGGCATGCATGTGTGTGAGGACGCCGTTAAAAAACTGAAATTGGTGAGTTTCTCACATCAAGCAAGTCATGTGTAATGGTTATTAGCTCTGTTATTACACTGTACGATTAACTAGGAGCCATTGGCTACATTCGGTGAGTAATACATTGGGTATTTTGTCCGTAGCTGTATTTTGCAATCTGTACTGCAGATCATAATAAAATCTGTTATTTCCACAATGTAAAACATTAAAGGTGCTTGGAATAAGTGAATATAGAAGATACATTGTGTTCTGCAGTATTGGCGTGATACGATGGGGCCTTCTGTTCTTCCCAATTTCTGATATAAGCTGTGCGAATGGCTCCCCCTATCTGTTACAGGCGTGCATAGCATGTGTGGTAGCTGTGACTAGGCTGCGTGGGCCTCCATGTGAGAATAGGAGATAAGATGAAAGGCCTGGTGCAGGCTCTTTGGATATTTGGAAGAATTCAAGATGTACATCAAAGCTGTCACATTCCCGTTCTGCTTGGCAGGGGGCTGATGGCTTTCCTAAGCTGGCTTCACACTGAGATTGCTTTTAATTACATACACAATTGGTTTTATTTACCTTCTTATTCTTTGTTTAATAATGAGAACGATGATCATTAACATGCTTCTACCAGAACCTATCAATAGAGCGTGTATTCATACTATATGGGATTTATATAGAACACAACATATCAGCTTATAATGGCATATTCATTATATTTTATTTATTCTCTAAGATAATCTTTTACACATCCCAAACATTCTTCAATTCCTTTACTGTATTAGCCTTTACTGCTCCCACTGGAAGGCTATTCCAGGTATCTACAACCCTTTCTATATCACTGTTACCACTCCCACTGGAAGGCTATTCCAGGTATCTACTACCCTTTCTATATCACTGTTACTGCTCCCACTGGAAGGCTATTCCAGGTATCTACTACCCTTTCTATATCACTGTTACTGCTCCCACTGGAAGGCTATTCCAGGTATCTCCTACCATTTCTATATCACTGTTACTGCACCCACTGGAAGGCTATTCCAGGTATCTACTACCCTTTCGGTATCACTGTTACTGCTCCCACTGGAAGGCTATTCCAGGTATCTACTACCCTTTCTGTATCACTGTTACCGCTCCCACTGGAAGGCTATTGCAGGTCCCCACATTTACAGACAGATACACTCATTGAATGCATGCTTACTTGCAGACCGTTGATGAACAAGATCGCACTAACTAATTCTGGTTTATTTTCTCGTTCTTTCTCCAGCTTGGCAAGAAGTCGGTAAAAGCCATTCTGTGGGTTTCAGCGGATGGGCTACGCGTTGTGGACGATAAAACCAAGGTGAGCAGCGCAAGGTGATGGGTGATACAGTCATAGAAATGCACCGGCTGTGACCCCAATGTGCCCTGTTAGTAGACTGAAAAAGAAATAAATAGGCAACAAATGTAATCAAATACGGAAAATGTTCAACTGAAACAGAGCTGGAAATAATACCTGACTCGGTTCACAAACAGCAAGGTTTAAATACAAATAGCTGGCATAAAATGTTTACTTACTGCAGCTTTATGGTACCTACCCAGGCTACTCTATTCCAGCAACACTAACCATGCGGCAGTCTCTGCTAGAACCTTTCCCTGACCTCTGCTGTATCCTCACCCTGGCCTCTGGCCTCTGGCCTCTGCTGGATCCTCACTCTGACCTCTGCTGGATCCTCACCCTGACCTCTGCTGGATCCTCACCCTGACCTCTGCTCGATCCTCACCCTGACCTCTGCTGGATCCTCACCCTGACCTCTGCTGGATCCTCACCCTGACCTTCACTGGATCCTCACCCTGACCTTCACTGGATCCTCACCCTGGCCTTCACTGGATCCTCACCCTGGCCTCTGCTGGATCCTCACCCTGACCTCTGATGGATCCTCAGCCTGGCCTCCGCTGGATCTTCACCCTGGCCTTCACTGGATCCTCACCCTGACCTCTGCTGGATCCTCACCCTGTGCTCTGCTGGAATCTCATCCTGGCCTCCGCTGGATCCTCACTCTGACCTCTGCTGGATCCTCACCCTGACCTCTGCTGGATCCTCATCCTGGCCTCTGCTGGAATCTCATCCTGGCCTCCGCTGGATCCTCACCCTGACCTCTGCTGGATCCTCACCCTGACCTCTGCTGGATCCTCACCCTGACCTCTGCTGGATCCTCACCCTGACCTCTGCTGGATCCTCACCCTGTGCTCTGCTGGATCCTCATCCTGGCCTCCGCTGGATCCTCACCCTTGCCTCCGCTGGAACCTCACCCTGGTCCCTGCTCGAACCTCGTCCTGGCCTTTGTTTTGCAGGCAGGAAGCACAAGTTGGGCCGAACATTATCTAACATTGCTGCTTTGCCGATAGTTGCACATAGTCCAATTTAATAAACCGTGAACTTGGCTATGGGTTATCCTATGTGAGTAAAATTGCAGAGTGACAGAGACTAGAGGCATTTAGCCCTGCAACGTACATATTGCTGTCTGCAGAACAGCAATCCTCTCCGCTCCAGGGATAAAATGGGGTGTCATGGCACCCAAACCATGTGACTGACAGGAAGTGGTCTGGGGGCCCATATTGTCTCTTTAGCTGCATCATAATAACATTCTCATTCCAGAATAAATGTGGTACATAATTGTATATTTTATTAATATTTGATTTTATGTATTTTATTCTCCAGATTATAAGTAAAATCTCAAGTAACCATCATTGTAGATACATTCATGTTTTATTAGAATTAAGTGTCTGTCTCATCTACCTGTTGACGTTACAGAATATGTTTGCGCTATATAAATTATTGTAATGGGAAATACAATAAATGTAAAACTCTCTGCCCGCACACAGCAGTTGTGAAATATTGTGCTCTTACAACACTCCCAGCATGCCGTGCAAGATACGCAAAGGAGTGCAAGCCTTGCTGACACAAAATGTTGTTTACAATTTTAATTCCTTCCATCACAGCTAGATTTCTATGAGCCCAGGAGTAGGATGAATGTCACTTGTGTGTTACTATAAGGTTGTATGTACCTTTAAATGGGTTACACAAGGTCTTTAAATAGGCCATGACAATACTTTGTCATTGTTCCCTGCGCGAGACGTTTATTAGAAACATCTGTTCGCCCTGTCGATCTGCTTCCAAATGATAACTCTAATTATATCTACCTTTAATGGTTATAGTTGAGCTGTTAACACGTGCCTGCACCTTTAATCGGCAGCTGGAGGATTGTTGTGGATACAAATCCCGATACAGCTGGCGCAGTGATGTAGTAGTTAATATTCTGGCGTGGGAGAGGCGATCAGGAGGTCATTTTAGTTCACCTCTTCGTGGTAATGGCGTAATGGAATCCATGCTGCTGCCCCTTGAGCACGATTAATAATGAGCTAATGCCACGCCTCGTACCCTGGGGCAGGAGTATGTAGCAGCCATGATTCATGACCAAGAAAATTTATACCATCTATCGACCAACGCCTCAGTAACAATAACTGTGCGCCAGCTGGGCAGGAGCCATTTTATGATACAAATAGGAGAATGCTGGATTAATGGCTTCCTGGGCCTGGAAATTAAAATATAGGTCCCAAAAAACCTTGTGGGCCTAGCTAGGAAATGTCGCTTTGTGTCTCTTATGACCTGTGTGTGCCGCCATTTATAATCCAACCTCCATGTCCTTAATTAAACAGGAAATTCCAAGCATATAAAATAATTTTAAAAATTTCATATATATATATAGTTTATCGGTTTTAGAGCGTGTGACTCTACGTATCGTTTTAAATCATGTGACGTGTGAATATGTTGTAGCGGAGCACTAGTTTCACATAGACTTTCTCTGCTGGTAATCCAAGAGTAACTCAGGAATAAGAACAGCATCAGATAAAATAATCCAGGAATATCCCATCACCTTTCCCAATAACTGGACGACACACAGTATCAGGAGCAGAACTGATCTTTTATTCCACATACCCAACTTTTATGCATCTCTCCCATGCAAGGGAGACACCCACAGAAAATCATACAGTGACCAATCATACACAAATTACAACCCACACATCTCCTCCCCTCAGCCTGGCAGATAATCCAATTATTCTGTACATACTTTTCCCCGTTTTCTAGATGTACCCCAAATACATAAGATACACCCCTAAATCTTACATCCCCTGGTAGCCCTGATCTGGGTGAACAACATACTCAAAAATCACCCAGATCGGATCAGGGGTTCAGGAATTTCATGGAAGTGTTAGTTTGACCAACCGCACACGAGGCAATAGCCGAAAGTAGTTTCATGTATTCTGGCCTTGCGGTCGGTCTCTGTTCGTGGGGGTAAAAAGCATGAAAATACTATACAGAATGGTCTTGGCTTGGATTCGTATGAATCCCCTCGTCCTTCTACCGACCGCCGGGTTGCTGGGAACGCCGTGGTCGAGTGTCCGATTTGGGTTCCAGACACTTGACGACCAAACACCGCTCGGCGTTCGTATGGCAAGATGGCCACCGCCACGTGTTCGTATGTCGAACGGTGCCCACCCAGGGAACACACAGTACATTCATATAATTGGCAATTAGGCTGTGGTTAATACCGATGAGGGAGGTAAATTAGAGAGACACCTCTCCGAGGTGTTCTGGTTGTTCGGTAGTTTGTTCGTATGTCGAACGGAGATATTGTACTGAGTATCCATTGCGTTTTTACCGAACAACCAGATGAATGCTTCATACAATACATTGTATACAAGGGATAAACGATAGGGAAATAACATTGCAACAAGAATAATTAGGGGCAGCCCAATGCAATCCGCTACATATGTATATAGTTTTTAGAGCATGTGACGTGTGACTATATATATATATATATATATATATATATATATATATATTGTTTGTAGAGCATGTGACATGTTGCTGTTGAGCTCCCATTTCTCATATTAAATGGCCATTTATTCGACAGCTGCTTCTCATATTTTATAAATAAAATGTAATTGTGTTATATCTCTGTCCCATGGTATCAAGGTCTTTGTTAGAACCTGTAATCTGTCATACTGTCCATAAAATTCCCACAATCCTCATGTCTTATTTCCTGTCCTCCTGCCTAGGACCTCATTGTGGACCAGACCATCGAGAAAGTGTCATTCTGTGCGCCGGACCGTAACTTTGACAAGGCGTTCTCCTATATCTGCCGTGATGGTACCACGCGGCGCTGGATCTGTCATTGCTTCATGGCGTTGAAAGACTCTGTGAGTTTGGGGTTCATTCACACATGCACACAGTATGCACTGTATAAAACCAGGGGTCTTCGAATCCCAGCACCAAGCTGTTGCCGAGCTCATTCGTCAATGTATAACATACCGATCTGTAAGAGAACCAATAAATAGTGTCCTGTACCAGGATAGGACACACATTTCTCCTGCTATAAATCTCCATTAGTAGCATTTTTAAGCTAGTTTGTGCAGTTACTATTTGTGCCACTGTTGTCGTTTTTGAAATATCCCTGTAGTTTAAGTTTGTTCTAGTAATGGATAATCTTTGGTGGACCCTCTGCGATGGCCTACAATTTCATATTCCATTAATGCATTGCTGATTATTTAGTACCAGGAACCAAAATCTCGTACCCAAAAATTTAGAGAAAAGACAGTCTTGAGAACGTATAGTTGGGAACCTGTGCGTGTACAGAGAACCACCTGGAGAACCACTCTGAGCAAGTGGGAACACACACAATTTGTCTTGTGATCCGGAAAGTAATGGAGTCCGAACTTTTGGCAGAATTTGAAAATTGTGTGAATCTCATGGTATCCAGTTATATATCCCTAGACTAAATTCTATCACCACGTTAATTGCATGATTTTATTTTACACCTATCAATACGTTGTATTGGCTGAGTTGTGTTCCATTGAATGTTCATTTATGTGTTAGCGGTCAGAGAATACATCGAGTGAGGGGGACTGTAGACTTTTTAAAAAAATCATTCAAAGAATAGGTCTAGTTAGAAGGATTAGAGTTAATCTTGTCTGTCAAACTTTGACCCTTAGATTGTAATATTTGCTTTGTATGTTATGTTTTTACAAGCTTGCTTGTAAGCAGTGAGGTCATAGTGAGAGCCAGGTAGACTTTGATCTAAACGTTTCCTTACAATGTACAATCAACGAACACCCATCAGGCCATTGGTATCACTGTATTATTTTAAAAACATACTCCATTAAAATAAATAAATAAAATTTAAAAAATGCAATTTAATAGAAATCGACCAAAGAAAATCTGCATGTAATCTTGTATTTATCTTGTCTTGCAATAGCTGCAGATCTATTGTCTGTAGCCTTGTCCCATTGTTCCCCTGCCCAGACTTTCTGTGACTGTCCAATCACAGACTCCCAGACGTCTTTTTAAGGCAGGTGCTCTGGACAGTTGCTGTCTGAGTTAACCAAACTAGGAAGTAACAGGACCGGTTGTCTGATTGACAGCCAGGGGGGTGTAACCAGGTTAATTTAGAAAAGTTTAAAAGAGGACACACTCTTCACACATAAAGCATTATAGCAAGCTGAATCCAGAGTGTCCCCTTAAGAGAAGGAATAACTGCAACATATTTAGTGTTTATATCTATAGGAAAACATAACATCACATATAATGAGTCAACCGTGCTAAAATATAAAGGGTTACTAATAGATAACAAATAATAGAGATGTAAGCAGTGAATTAAAGAAACATTACAGTTCCCCTTCCTGCTTCTTCTTTCATGAAAAGTGTTATTTTTTTTTTTATTATTTGAAAACCTTACGATTGTGCTTCTATGTTGTTCCGAGTTTCGCGCCTTTCGCAACTGCCTTCCTCTATTTCCCTGTTGACTTTCTCTCTACCTCTGTTCGGCAGGGTGAACGTTTGAGCCACGCGGTGGGCTGTGCGTTTGCCGCTTGTCTGGAGCGTAAGCAGAAGCGGGAGAAAGAGTGCGGCGTCACTGCTTCCTTTGACGCCAGTCGTACCAGCTTTGCCCGTGAGGGTTCGTTTCGTGTCACTTCTGCATCCCAGCAGGCTGAGCGTGAGGAGGTGATGAAACATCTTCAGGATAAAAAGAAAGGTGAGTGGCGGATTTAGTAAATGGTGACTGGGGGGTGTACTACAGTCTGGAATCTACCCTCCTAATAGCCAATCATAGGCTTAGCCATAACAAGCAATTCTGGGGTAAAGTACTAACATGGAGCAGTCACCTTGGAAACCAGTGGAATATCCCGTCACGTTGCTCCAATTTTAGAACTTTTTCCCAGTAACACTTTAATCCTATCAGAAGCTGGACCTGAAATATTATCAGTGTATCATAATTTGTAAAATAGAAAACTTTCTGTAACTATTTTGGGGGAGCGACTTCTAATATAATCCTGTTAACCCCTTACAGGTTTGAGCATTGCAGGGGCCTTTTTAGCATGTGAAGAGTTAGTTTCTATTGTATTGTAAAGTAAAATATACTGATCTGTTACAGTTGAAGAAGTTCAGACTACGCCGGTAAATACGCCATCTGTAGCTGCGGTTCCTAGCCCCGTGTTACCCGCGCAGCCTGAGAACCAGTCACCCACGCAGTGTGCGATGGTCCCGAGTGAAAAGGGGGAGGGTGGGGGACAGCACGCCATCCCCCGCAGACACGCGCCCCTGGAACAGCTGGTGAGACAGGGCTCCTTCCGCGGATTCCCTGCACTGAGCCAGAAGAACTCGCCCTTTAAACGGCAGCTCTCGCTCCGATTAAATGAGCTTCCATCCACTTTACAGAGGAAGACAAATTTCCAGGACAAGAACCAAGGTGAGCGGGGGATTATTAAACGATTTAATGCAAATAAGGGGGTCCTGTGCTTAGAGAGGTATGTGATTGCGTCCAAAGCGTCAGGAGTGTGCATTGTGTGTTCATCGCTCTGTATGGCACCCTTGTAGTGTCTTCCCACACCAAGTGGCTTATAGTAGTGAATGTCTATTAGTGAGTTTGTAGTAGTGAATTTAAAGTACTGAGTTTATAATAGTGAATTTATAGTAGTGAGTTTATAGTAGTGAATTCTAAAACTTTGGCAAAAATAACTAATTTCCTGCTCGACTACCTCAGGGAATTATTGTTAGATTTTGCAGTTTGGATTTTAGTTCACTAAATATTTCTCTGTTTCATGAACAAACCCGGTTGTTTTACGGCTGCTAGCATGGAATCATTAGAGACCGTTGAAGGTGAGAATGAGTAATAAGGCTCCGCCCCCTGTGAGACCAAATGCTGCTTTGTGCAACGTAACCTCACTTTTGGGAATAGCCATTTGCATATATGGCCAGGTAATGATACCCTATATGCAAATAAAAATATTAATTCTTCTGATCTGTGGGGGTTGTGATTAACGATGGCACCCCAGATATGTCAACTTTCCATCCCACAATGGTCACTAAACCTCTTCTCCAAACACCTGCCCATTGCATAACAGAAAATGTGGATCCGTAATATCGGTGATGTCTGAGTTCATCGTCATTAGCCTATAGCCAAATGGCTGGAACCCACTCACATTCGGTTGTAAAGACGGACTCTTTAACTCTTTGCTGTGCTTCGTTAACCATGCCAACGTGTAGGGTTAAATGTTTCTTGACCATTTTTATCTTTCAGTCCCTGAAGCTGATCCTTCGTTCCCACCGGACTCTGATGGGATCACGGATCTGTGTAACCAAATAAACAATTCGTTCACCAACAGAGCTGCAGAAGACCCTTTCATCAATGGCAATGGGACGCTGACCCCCACTACAGTACCCAGTCTCCCTCCCCCTCCTCAGGTCGCGCAAGGTAAAGACACACGTAGCTGGTTGACAAATCTATATGATAAAAATCATAGTTACATAGTTACATAGCTGAAAAGAGACTTGCGTCCATCAAGTTCAGCCTTCCTCACATATGTTTTTGCTGTTGATCCAAAAGAAGGCAAAACACCCAGTCTGAAGCGCTTCCAATTTTGCAACAAACTAGGAAAAAAATCCTTCTTGACCCCAAAATAGCAGTCAGATGTCTCCTTGGATCAAGCAGCTATTACCCCACTAATTAGAAATTATATCCCTGTATGTTATGTTTTTGCAAGTATTTATCCAATTGCAGTTTAAACATCTGTAATGACTCTGACAAAACCACCTCTTCAGGCAGAGAATTCCATATCCTTATTGCTCTTACTGTAAAAAAACCTTTTCTTTGCCTTAGATGAAATCTCCTTTCTTCCAGCCTAAATGTGTGACCTCGTGTCCTATGTATAGCCCTGTTTATGAATAGATTTCCAGATAAAGGTTTGTACTGGCCCCGAATATATTTGTATAAAGTTATCATATCCCCTCTCAGGCGCCGTTTTTCCAAACTAAACAGATTTCATTTTTTTAACCTTTCTTCATAACTAAAATGCTCCATTCCTTTTATCAGTTTTGTAGCTTGTCTCTGGACTTTTTCTAGTGCCATGATATCTTTCTTTAGAACAGGCGCCCAGAATTGCACAGCATATTCAAGGTGTGGTTTTTGATTGATTTATAAAGAGGCAAAATTATATTTTCATCACGAGGATGAATGCCCCTTTTTACATATGCCTTATTTTCCTTAGGCACAGCAGATTGACATTGCATATTGCTGCCTAATTTGTTGTCTATAACAATTCCCAAATCCTTCTTGTGTGTGGTTATCCCTAATTCACTACCATTTAGGGTGTAAGTTGCTTGTGCAATCTTTACTCTGAAGTGCATAACTTTGCATTTCTCTATGTTAAATTTCATCTGCCATTTTAGTGCCCAGTCCCCCAATCTATCCAAATCCCTCTGCAGCAAGGCAATATCCTGCTCACATTTTATAACTTTACCAAGTTTTGTCATCTGCAAACACTGAAACATGGTTTTTAATGCCATGTTATCATACTATGAATTCACATTTCTTAAACTTTCAACCATTCCAAACCCACACGTTCATTAAATGAACCTTTCCGCTAATTCCAGCCTCAGGTTTTTAAATGCCCTAACCCTTATATACGTACATTTGTCCAAATCTTCCATCAAAAAGTGATCCCCTCGGTATACGTATAAAGTTATTTTTGGATATCTACCTTAACGCACAGACCTCCCGCCTCCCCCCTCGCATTTCCTTTTTCATTGTAAATACTAATTATCATTCTATTTATATTTAAATTGAAAATATAAAGCATATTAATTGGCATATTATTAGATGAACCTGCTTGCACTATTAATGTGAATAATCTGCATTGTAAGGCACTCTTTTGATTTAGAAAATAATTGAACCTAAAAATTGGCCAAATGAGGGAAATCTCACAGACTGATATTAAATATTACCTGTGCCTTGAAATAGTCAGGACTTTTCCAAAATCCCTTGTACGTCTGCATTCCTATTGCTGTACATACACCCAACACCAGCATTAAACCAATTTGGAATTAAAAAAAAAAAAAATCCTTCCCCTGCTCCATGATTGGATAAAATATTAATATTATTGTGATGCGATGTGGTTAGTCCCGCCCTCGCACTGTGTAATTGGCTGGTTCAGATCCCATGACGGAGCATTGTGATAAGTATCGATATCGAGTTTCGTGGTTAGAAAACCAGTTACAATGTTTCAAAAAGATACACAATGATCTAGTTCTGGGCAAGCTGGGAAATGTTACAAAATATTCTATAAATAAAATGAATAAAAGTGAGGAGTAAAGAAAGAGACCAGGTGTGTGGTGGGAATTATTATGTTCCAAACAGAAGAGAATATTGGCAGGTGTTTACTTTCCATTGCTTAGTTAAATTATAATCAATTATGACTCAAGTATTACACAATCTGCTAACGGAAGATCTTATATCGCCATGGGATATCCGGTGTCTTACCAGTGGCAGCTCCATGCAGACGCTAATTCAGTGAAATCACTTTTTTTTTAATAGGATTTATTATCCATAATTATTATGATGGCACCAACTGGTAAAATTGCCGTCACAATCCACATCGCTGCATTGTGATTGTTTTCTTTATGTGCTCCCTACCCCCATACATTATGTGGCCTCTGAGTCTGCTCGATTTCTTGCAGGGAGTCCAGGATGGGTTGACCATGTGACAACCACAACAGCCCCTTCTAACTTCCAAATGGGACATCGCCGCACTCCATCTGAGGCAGAGCGTTGGCTGGAAGAGGTGGCGAAGGCAGCTAAAGCCCAGCAGCAGCAACAGCCCCCACCCCAGCCTATGGTTCCAGTGCCCATGGCAGTTCCTGCTTCAATGCCTGCATATCCAGTTACTTATGATCATGCATCTGCCCCGGTCGGCATGTTTATTACACCCCACATGCAGCCTGCCTACGTACCTGTGGCTGGGTATGCGCCAACTATGGCAAACACCATGCCATACCCTGCTCCCAGCGTGCCTGTGGTGGGCATCACTCCATCCCAGATGGTGGCTAATGTATTCTGCTCTGCTACTCAAGTACCATCTTCCAACATGGCCAACAAGTCCAACCCGTTTCCTCAGAGCATTCTGCACTCCACCAATGTCCAGAACCCTACCTCATCACAGCCTTCACAGATGGGACCAAAGCCAAATGCCACTGCCAATGGTACCACGTGGCCCCCAGACCCCAGCCAGCTGAGGCTGGCATCCACAGCACAGGAGGTGGACCAGTTTGAAGCTCAATGGGCGGCCTTGGAGTCCAAATCTCAGCAAAGGTTGGCCAACCCCTTCTCTAACGAACTGCAAAAGACTTTCCAGATAGAATTGTAGCCAAGAAGTGACCATCTTAACACAAACTGATTTTCAGGATCAGCTGCAAGAACATACCTGACCAATCAAAGTCAGCCAGTAGAAATCTTTGTACGTGGAAACTCAACCTATCTCTGTATACAAGCGTGCCAGATTGTGTCTTGTAGCCCATGGTTTGGTGGTGGATCCAGTCCAGATGGAGACATAACATCATCACAGATCATCTGTACTCATGGATGTATAATGTGTCATTATTTGCATAACATCTACCAATACCAGTTACTGGGTACCCCAAAAGACTCTTCTATATGTTCCATAAATAGTTGGCTTGTGGTGGGTTGTGGAAAGCTCTAAAAGAAGTATGATTACTCATGTTGGTTCATTATCTTGTGAAATTTTTTGGATGCTTGTCAGTAACCCTTCAAGTGGCAGTCAAAGGGTGTAAGAAAGATTAGTATGTGAAGAGGGAGCCTGGGGTATGTGATCTTTTTTGTGAGATGGTGCAAGAAAGTGATTGAGAAATCAGTTGTGGAGATGCAACGCTGTTCTAATGTTTACACATTGCAAATCTTTTAAGGTATTATTTTATACTTAATACCTGGATATGTCCTTTAAAATGACCTCTTCAAGATGTCAGGTGAACATGTTAAATGACCAATGTTTTAAATACTGATATTAGAACGTATATTAAATTTACAGAATTGAATTGGGCCCAGACCTTCATAGAAGTAAAGAGATGAATCCAAATTTCAGAAAACCACTTTAAAAAAACAAAACAGTGTAATATTTGTACTCCTCTCTTAAATGGTTATTCTGGAATGTGTTCCTAAACAGTGAATTTTATTTAACTGACAGTCAGATTGTAAAATGTGGAAGAGATTGTAATTCATGTGCAAGAACAGATGACCGGAAGACATTTTTTTTTAGATATGGGATTTGAGCCCAAATTAAATATCTAAAAAAAAAAAAAAATTAAAATAATGTTTGTTGTTCAGGCTTTGGCTGAATTCACTAGAGGTCAATATTATATTTGGCATGTTATATCTAACATATTTTGTGCAATAGTTTTACATAAAGTCTTGAAATGCTTAAAATGTATTTAAAAATAAAAAAAAACTAACAAATTATTTTTTTTAAATAAATCTGTATTTAGCATTATGAGAAGTAAAACACACCATTTACCAATGAATTGAAAGCGATATGATTTATTTTGTAGGAATATGAAATAATTCAGAAAAGGGAGATTTTGGATTTAGGAGGACATAGCTCACTATAATAGAAATAAAATAGAATATTATAAATATAAAATGCATATATTATTTAATGTTAAACAAAAGCAGATTGATCTAAAACTGGAATACCAATTTCTACTGTAGAAAATTTTCAAATGGAGGCAAATTACAAATATATCTCAATTTTTAAAAAATGTTTTAAAGATTTTTATTGTTTAAATTTCCTTTTTTTTAAGATAGAAAATGCATTGCACAAGGTTGGTGTGTTTTGGGTTTTCTGAATGTAAGTTATTAATATTCTTCTCTTATAACCCACAGTTTTTTTATTATGTTGTTTCCCCCACCCCCACCCTTTTTTTTTAGATATATTTGTCATATTAGAAAATAATGAAATTCCTCTTTGAATATAAAGCAGAAATTTGAAGACATACTTACTGTAACTGTCTTTTCCTGGCTGTGTTATACAACAGCATCATTCCTGTTTCTCAGGCCAGGGAGGAGCTATCCATAAGTGATGCCGCCATGATAGCCAGGAAATATAGTTTTGATTGCCATATTTTTGTTTATTTTTTTAAGACGGTATTCTGCTAGAGAATTGAGAGTTAGTGTTTATAAAATTTGTTATAATGCGTTGATAATGCTAATGACCTCTCGTGGATTTACTCTTTTGCCTGAGACTGCAAAGCATTATATCGAAAAATAAAGTCTATCCTTTAAAAGTAAAATATATGTGTGTGGAACCTACACAGAAGGAGGCGCGTTCTAAATGAATTCTTAACTCTGGCGCAAAGCCGCGATTTACTGCACTGTACCCTCGTAGCACACAGACGCCACATCTGAAAGACTTCCTGATTTCTGCATGTTGGATAAAGTATGTGTCTGTAATGTTTTTGGGGAAAGAGGAACACTATACTTGATTTAAATATATTGTGCCAAATTCTCTCATGGCTGCATAGATGCACCAATATCAACCTCCAAGCCAACTTAATACATGTTCAATGCAACAAAATTTGTAACATAAACTCCCGCAAACTTGCTTTACTTCAAACATCTCAGAAGATTATCTTTAGACTTTGTGTTTTTTCTTTTTTGTTATATTTTTTTTTTTATAATTTAAATTAAATGCCAAATATATACTATATTTAATATATATATTTTTTTGTAGTCCTGTGTCTTTTTAAGATATAAAATGACCAAATAACAAGATTCAGTTTAAAATGTGAGGTTTTAACCCTTTAATATCATCCAAGTTTAAATAGAGTTGATGTGATGTCAATCAAAGCGCCAGATTGGGAAAGTGCGTAATAACAGATTTAAACCTTGACCCTAAGCCAGAAAATAAAAACTAGCTGCATAGACGTTTTCTCACCTAGAAATGTGTATCTGCTCGATCAGGCTGTATAAATAGACCTTTGTCTCTCTTTCTAATACTCTCATGTTATGTGCAATGAACAAAGGATAAATAGTAATGTTTGCTCTGCCAGATCTATGTGGACTACATATCCCATGATGCTTAGCCAACTTAAAGCATTTGAAATTCCCATGATGCTTAGCAGATCATTTTGGGGTGCCGAGGTGATTGCCATCTCTTTTGTTGCAAGTGTAGAGTTGAACATTCCGCAGGGCAAGTGGTACGATAGTGGGGCAACTGGCCAAAGAGACTGGCTGAGCCTCTTGCTGCCCTAGCTGTGATGAAACCTGTCTAGCATTAAACCTTAGATGATGGAGATCTCCCTCTCTCTCTATTTAGGGATCTTTCCAACAGGTGTCATTGAATTAACTTGGAATTTCTGTCTGTGCCGTATTGTGTGAGCCTGGTCACTGCTATCCATTATCCATATAAGATTAGAGATAACAAAAATCCTCATTAGTATGACGGCAAGAGGATGGCAGCCCTGAGGGACAGCTGAAGGTATCTATGGGTAGCTTCACACATGTGAACGTGTCACTTTGCAGGGTATCTACAACAAATGGCAAACACCCCACAAGTGACGATAAAGTACCCCAAACGTTGGAAGCGTATCTAGAGAGCATAGAGGGGTTCCGGTAAGAAAAGGGAGGTTGGAGTTTATAACGTCTTTACTGCAGAAACAAACCGTGTAGCCGTATTTGGAACTGCAGAGGAACACCTTCCCGGTGACAGAATTCTCACCTACTCGTGGGCTGGTGTTACCCTGTTTGACCCGGGATACCAGTCTACGTGGCCAAATTCCTAATAATCTCTCTACACATACGTGGCTCCACATCTGCTGAGTGGGTATTGCTATATAATAAAGCCATAACTCAGGTGTAAAATACCTACATATAGAGTATATCAGGAAGGGTAGTGTGTATATACAGCAAAGACTTGCACGTATGTGTATGAAATCTATATACAGGATAAATATATATATATATATATAGGAGTAGATATAACAAGAGGATGGATATACTGTGGACATACATGATTCCATGTTAACAGCAACTGATACCCCAATACAGTCCATAGAGTGCACTGTCAGGATTGTTTTATTGCTGCCAATACAGAGAGGGCTCCCCCATTGCAGGACTTGGCTGGGAGAGACAGGAGTGGCAGTCCTCTGCAATCAGGGTGCAGTCTGTAAATCTCTGTTGTGCTGAGTTCAATCGCAATCTGACAATGGAGCTGGGAATGAAAACTCAGGTTTTATTGAATAGCCAGCCCGTGTGTCATCGATACACCACTAGCCGGTTCCCATAGGGTCCAACCCATATTTATAGGAAGGGTACACACCCAGTTCCTAGTACCTGACGTGCGCAATCCGAAGGGACAGGGACCACTTTTACTTTTACCACTTAGTCATTTCATTTTTTAAGCCCGATGCATTTTTTTAAAAATGTCTGTTTGTTTGTTTTTTGCCCCCTTTTTTTAATAATTTTTTTGCTTCGTTTTGTTCTTGTTTCAAACAGACAATTTCTACTCCGCTATTCAGATTTTGTATCTATAGAAAAAAAACAAAAAACTCCTGTATTTGTATTATAACATTGTGAAAAGATTAAATAAAATCCTAAATATAATACATGCTTTGGTGTCTCAGTATTTCTTTATTTCTTATTACGCACCTGAACTGATCATTCAACACAACTTCTTTAGGTTGGCAATAAGAATATATCAATGTGTTATAAAGAAGAAATTTATAATTTATTTTCTAATTATTATTATTGCCATTTATATAGCGCCAACAGATTCCGTAGCGCTTTGATGAGATATTAACGAGTATGTGCGAAAAAGTGCAGCTATCTTAGAGAGTTTGTGGGTGTTAAAGCAGGGAATCACAGCAACTGCATTATCTGTGCTCGAGATACGGAGGGTTCGCCAGCTATAGACTGTCACTCAATTGTTTTATGTATAGACTTAATCTATAGAATACATTTATCAATTTTATTTAAATGCAAGCTTTAATAATTTAAAATATATTGCTACTATTGGCTGAGAATAAACACTGAACCCAGCAGTTCTCCATATATCATATGTGCCTTTGCATGGACATGTTACATTGTTTTATATATATATATATATATATATTGGTACTGCTATTAATAGTGTATCTTGCCAAAGACTTGTCTTGTAGAGGTTAACACAGTGATAAAAATGCTGCATGTAGTACGGTTATTTAAAAGATAGAGGGCGCCAGAGTATTAGCAGAACTGGTTTGATTTCTCTTGCTTCACGCTATATTCAATGGAACACTGGACTTGTCTAATTCCTTTTAATCCAACTGCGATTAACCTGTGGATTTTATTCAATAAATAAGACTCTACATGTGAATCTGGACAGATTGATTCATTTGTGTGTGGATCAAAAGGAATTTGATTTGGTTCAGCTACTCCTAACAAATTTTTGCAGAAGTCTAATTTGTACTAAAGTGGTGATTTTTTACACCGAATTCTAGTGATCTGGTTATTGGGATGCAACATTTAGACAAAATTAGCCAATCTGTGACCATAGCTGCACTGCCTAGATTTTGCTGTTGCTCAGTCTGTCTGTGGCTGTGTGAGAAAATTGGCGTTCGCTAGCGATACAAGATGTGACATCACATATCCCAGTAAGGCCTGCACAGTATGATCATTCACATAGACCTGGAGACATTAAGAGCTCAGACATTACACACCCCACACAGCAGGCCTCCCAAATGTCCCTATTTTAGGGTCCTGTCTCGCCATGCTGATTTAGTTACCTAGAGTCCCAAATACGGGGACACTGGGGAACTGTCAATGGGGCAGCACATCACAAATGCATTATTAGACGCAGTGTTTAGAACATTGGGCAGACTAGATGTGCCTAATGGTTCTTATCTGCCGTCACAGTCTATGTTTCTATGACTAGAACCTCGCAGACAGCATTTCAGTAACACTATCTGCATGTTGGGGGCCAGCCGAGAAGCGATCTGTCAGCTCGTGTGCTTGACCCACCCAGTATTGGCCCCGTCAGTGATGCAAGTTATGTCACTGGTGAGGCCCCATGAAGGTCCACCCACCCATCCCCAACAAGGGAAGGTATAACACAGTGGTGGGCTAAGCTGCCTGCAAAGGCCCTATGCAATTCCTGTCCGCTCCCCTCTCCTGTAGTACTGTTCAATGCACCGCACGCTATTTGTCCTTCAGAAGAATGGTTTGAGGCTGCAGACCACACCCTGCTTGCCCCCCCTCCAGCTAATGGCTTGATGGACAATTGCCCCTTAGCCCACCTTTCCAGCCCTCATCATGTTTATTTGCAATTAAGCAACGCGCTTTAATTTTGGAGCACACAACAGGGTTTTACAAACCATCGAAACAAAACACCAATATTTTCAATGAAATGTTTATTAAACATTTTTTTATTAAATGTCTGATTACTACATCAAAACACCACTGATAAAAAAAAATAAAAGAAGTGATAATACCCTTTAAGCAGAAGGCGGGTTAGTTTGTTTCTTTACAGGATGATAGCGCACTTCAAATAAAAGGTCACTTTAATAGTATTTAATAATTAATGATGATGGTAATACAAACATTATACATCTTGTAGTAATCCGGATTTCCCCATAATTATGTCACATACAATGAGAATTGTTATTACTAATTACAAGAACGTAGATTTCACACCAGTTTGTGAGGCGAGGAGCTCCTTCGCCAACCTCCAAAAAAGATGATTATACCAAGAATACGTCAATTTAACCCATCGCTATTCACTATCTCTGCTCCTCATAGAAAAATCGAATTTACTGCCCTTAAATATACAAAGTACTTCTACCCACGCCGCAGCAGAGAGACGCGCTGGGGGCCATATTGTTTGGTGAGGATTCTTGACAGGAAGTGAGGTCTTTCACAAGACGCAGCAGCCTTTTTTTTATTTTTTTTTTAAAGAACAACACATATAGGTGACGCCAGCTTAACAGGGGGCCATGACTTGGGACTGATGTAGGGTGACGCGAGTTTGGTAATATGGCTTTGGAGATGTGAAGGTCAAAACAAACATAGATATGTGGTGTCATTAAATGTGTGCGTCGGTGTTTGAAATCTGTTTTAACAGGTAAGCAGTATCATTACACAGCAAAGCAGACGGCAGTATTTTCCATTTTATTTACAGAGCCACAATTGTACACTTGGCATTGAATAGGCCGATGGTAAACAAGTAGCTCTCCAACTGATCTGGAACTACACTTCCCAGGATACGTGCAATAAGGCACCAAGGAGACTGGCTACTGACACTCACAGGGCATTAAGGCACCCAGGGGACTATTTAATGCCCCCATCAGTGCAATAAGGCACCCATGAGACTAGTTAATGCCCCTATTAGCGCAATAAGGCACCAGGAGACTGGTTAGAATCAGTAACAAATTTATAGTAATTACTGGTAAAAAAGCAATAATGAAAAAAGGACAGTAATGATTGTAGGAGGTCACTATCAGTACTTGGGTAATAAAACACTCAAGAAAGCTGCAAACTCAAATCTAATTTAGTCTAATTTACCCCTAGAATGAAGAAACCTAAGAATAAGTCAAGTTAAAAAGCTTCCTGCTATGTGTATAAATAACCCCGATTGCTAAATAGCGTGTGACGTGCCCTTACCCAACATGGCGCCGGGTAAACACAAGTAATCAGGTGCTCCTGCTGCCCGGATTTACTTTGGGAAAAACATTTACAATAGACGTGTGTTAAAAAAATATAATTTTACAGATCTCCAGAGGGTTTAGCCCAGGAGAAGCACTAAATCAGGAAATTGTAGCTTTAAATAAAGTGGATTGAAAACATGTATTGATAATCAAAAACCCGATGGTTTTAAAGAAGTTTTACTTGCGCGATGGCGTCTGACACTGCGCACAGAAGTATGGCTAAATGGTGCCGCACATTGGAATGGCTCTTTAAAGAGGTTACAAGGCTTTTTTTTTCTGGTTTATGAGCATTAATGCTGCGTAATTTTACTGGTAGAATAGAATAATGGACACTTTCTGTCCTGGCTCTGAAAGTGTTAATATCATAAAATATATCATTATAAATAAAAATTTAAAAAAATACAACAGGTGTCAGATAAAAGCTATACATCCAGATTAATATTGCTCATTGCTAATATAATTCATGCTGTTTCAGCAGAGTGTGTTGAGATGATTTAAACAGATCTTGTACCCACGGATAAACAATGAGTACGTAACCCTCTTTACGTCAGTTTACAACCTACAAGCTGTTATTGAGCACCGCAGTAAGTGTTAGCTCACAAGTTTCACAATACATTATTAGAATCTTAAGTTTCGCTTAAAATGTCTGATTTTTAGTGAATTGCCCACATTTTGGGTTCTAGAGGATTGCCAGTAAGTAAATTCACAAGTAAAACATAACAGCTGACCCATTAGTATTTAATCATCCCCTAAATAAATGGTTCTCGATTGTCATGGTCAACTGACAAGGACACTGTATATGTGGTCTAACAGACTGCCTGTTCTTGGTTAGGTAGTTGTGGTGGTTACAGCAGTGTGCATAATATGGCTTTATTTCTGAATAAATGAGGGCAAAATATTTAGTCTCCATCTGTCCTAGAACAATCATGGTTGAAGTGTGTGGTGGACCACCATGGCCAGGACCTCGATCAAGTTCAGCTTAGAAGACGATCATCAAAGAAACTTACCGGGCTTTTCACTAAGGTGAGAATTCAAAGTGGATTTCAAATTTAAAGGTAAATTTGCTTAACTAAAAACATTCTCTAAGTCAGCTATGCATTTTTCAGTTTGGTTACTCTGACTTTAAATGTGAAATTAATTCACTTTCAATTCTCACTCTAGTAAATAACACAACAAGAGGGAAGATGATAAAGAAATGTCTTGTCCTGTTTCTTTCAGGTGATCAGTCATCAATCGGTGTTCTTCTTGAACAGAGGATGTTTTTTTCTCTTTTGTCTATTTTGAACCTTCTGACCTCCATTATCACATTTCCAACCCAATCACTTTCCTACAGTAAAATGGGACATGTTTGCATTTGATATTTACAGTTTTTAAAGTGAATACGCATATCAGACTTCCCTCTGACTCCATAAAAGGCTTTCCGTGTTTGATTTTTACATTGTAAAATCTGATTTGGTGCGTTGAGAATTTCATCAAGAACTTGGAAGCAAAGCTCATGCTAAGGTCTCACCAACCCAAAAGATACTTCCACCCTCCCAGTCTAATCCCCCCATGTCCACATGTACGATATGCGGAGCAGCTTGTTTTAAATAAATAAAGGCTACTCGCAAACACACACAGAAAAAAAAAAGTATCACCTCTCTTTTGACTTTTTCCAAGTCTTTGAAAATTAAAGGTAGAGAAAGAGTAAGAGCAGATATTTAAGGCTGCGTCCACAGCCTGTAACAAATTAGCACTGTTGCAATAAAAGTTCTTGACTGAGTAGTCAGTTGTCTCATCTATATGGACAGTGTTTTTTCTGTTACAGTCTCTGTCTTGATTTGCTTTGTCGTTGTGATTTTCAAGAAGCCTCCAGCAACCTTTTCTTCTACTGTATGTTCCTCATGGTGGGTTGTGAATCCCACCTTCGGCATGCCAATTGTGAACCCTTCTTGGTAACCCTCCTGTGTGATTTCACTTGTCTGTGTTGATATCTCCGTCTCTGGTTTGGGACTGAGAGATAATTTGGGTATTTTATATTTTTTTTCTTTACTACTTTCCCCTTCAGTGTCCTTCTCAATCCCGCTATTGTCCACTGTATATTCCCCTTTGGATTTACTTGACAGAAAACCCAGAGAAATTTTAGACCTCCCTGATTTTCCATCTCCTTCCCCCTTGGTTTCCACATCTGTTTTGGCAGGAGAACTACTAAGGTGTTCCTCACCCTTTTCTTTCTTCTTAAAGCCTGAAAAGGACTTAAATTTAGATGTAAAGGAGCTTTCGTGACTTTCCTCTTTGTAATCTTGGTCCTCACCCTTGACCAACTTTAAATTCATTTCCAAATCAGATTCTTTGCCCTTGTGTGGAGTGGAAATTTCCAGCTTGGGCATTTTGAGTTTTCCCATTTTTGCTACACTGTCCTGCGATCCATTCACCTCCTGGTCATCATTTGGGCGGCCAGATGAACTTGTGCCATTAACATTAACATCCCCTGCATTTCCTTTAGAAGACGAAAATCCTAGCTTGGGGAACTTTATCTTTGAGGACTTGCCCTCAGGACTCAATTCTGCATCAGTCTCTCCACTAGCAGAAGCATCCAACTCCCCATTTACTTCTGCCCCTTTGGTTTTACCTCTTCCAAAGGATGGCTTCATCTTTATTTTTGGCATCTTGATCTTCAGTTCTGGGCCTTCGCCTTCTAAGGTGATATCTGCATCTGATGTTAAAAGAGCTGCATTTCGCTCCTTGTTCTTTCCTAGTGAAAAAATATTTCTTCGGCTTTTCTTTCCTTCGTGCTGGTCTGATTCATGGTCAGAACTTGGAGTCTTTATATTGATTTCTGCTTGTTTGACACTCGATTTTATTTTTGGTGTTGTTAGTTCCACATCACCTGGAATAGGTTTTGGCAAGCTTATTCCAAACTTGGGTAGCTTTACTTTGTATTTCTTCCCAGATTCTTCCTCTGTTGTACCATGATCTTTGCTTTCTTCTTTGGCTTTGCTGGTTTTGGTACTAATCAATTCTGTCTCCATCTCCTTTGACCAACTGTCTTCTAGTTTTGCTCCATCCACATTATATTCAGCATGTGCTTTGATCTTTGGAGTGGATATTTCCACATCTGGCATCTTGAAGGCAGATTTCCTTCCTTCTAAATCTTCTTCCAGAGAAACGTTCATATCATCATCTGACTTCCAACCTGGCATGCCAATTGTTGGCATCTTGATTTTGGGCATCTTGAGACCCACATCTATTTCTAAATTCTCAAGACTGGATGATTTGGGGGCTTTAACCTTGGAATCTGCACTTAGAGCCTTGGCCTGGCCACTTTCCAAAGAAATGTCACCTTCAGTTTCACTTCCTGAAAATCCAACATCAGGAATGGAGACTTTAGGCATTTTAAATTTCAGTTCACCTCCTTCTTCGGTTGGATGCAAGAATTCTGTTGCAGCACCAGTGCCTTCTTTCGAAATTCCAAATGAGGGCATCTTGATCTTAAACCTTCTGCTGTTTTCAGAATCCTCATGATCTGAAGTCTTTGCAACATCGTTTACTGTCTTTTTGTGGTCACCTTCCATTTCCACAGAGCCATCATCCCTGCCTTTCAGAGGGCCCACATAAAGCTTAGGCATTTTTATTTTGAAGCCCATTTTCCCTGAATCTTCAGTCTCTTCAGTTTTGACAGCCTTAACATCCAATTTGGTGGTTTCTTCATCAACACCTGAATTGGAGCCACCAAATTTAGGTAATTTTATTTTTGGCATTTTTAATTTTAAATCAGGAAGTCCAACATCAGGGAGGGCTACATCAGCTCCATGTGTCTTTGCGTGGTCTCCTGTTTTTGAACCATCCTTGCTAAGGCTGACTTCAAGGTCCAGTTCTGGAGCTCTAATTTTGGGAGTCGATATTTTGGGCAACTCTACAGATGGCATACTAAACTTTCCCTCTGATGTGGATGTCTCTAGATCTGTTCCATGCATCTTCAACTCTCCTTCAATAAATGGTATGCCTTCTTCATCTGATTTGCCTCTTGACAAAGAAATATCAAAGTGAGGCATTTTTATTTTAGATCCCTTGAGCTTTGCTTCTGCTTCACCGGTTTTATATTTACTGACTTCAGTGTCCACTTTGGCATCAACAGTTCGGCCATATTCTCCAAAGTTTGGCAGTTCGACTTTTGGCATCTTCAATTTCATGTCTGACTTTTCTAAGGCAAATTCAACTTCTGAGGTGGGTTTGGCTAAACCGATATCTAGTTCCAGACTTGGAACAGAGACTGATGGAAGTTTAGGTATTTTTAAGTCTCCTTCATATGCTTTGATATCTGCATCAGAAACATCCACTTCCGCCTTTGGTGAAGAGATACAAGGCTCAGGTTTAATACACGGGACAGAAATCTGCAATGATGGCACTTCCTGTAGTGTGGAGTTTCCAAGTGATGGTATTCTTATTTTTTCACCAATATCAAGGCCTCTGATCCCTCCTGATAATTTTGCTTCTGCTTTTGGCAAAGTGACATCTGCTGATTTCTCACTTTTTATCCCAAAAGAAGGCAATTCAACTTGGGGAACTTTGACTTGAATATCAGGTAAGTGAAGGTCTTCTTTAGAACCTTTTACAGCAATTTCTGAATCAGGTGTTTTGACTTTGGGTGGTGACATTTTAAAGGTGGGCATTTTTATGAAAGAGGTTTTTCCATCACTTTCTTTGCTATCTACCTCCACTTTGGTTTCTTTTACAGCTTCTTTTGCTTTCTTTAGTTTAACTTCAGGAGGGCTGACATCCAGTTTGATGTCAGAAACATCTGCTTCTTTTTTTGAAATTCCAAATGAAGGCATTTTTATTGCAGGCATTTTCATTTTCCCCTTTCCCTTTCCATTGGAGCTGCCTCCATCTGAGGAAGTATCTGTACCACCAGACAATTTAGCTGTAGCAACTTTGCCGTGTAATTTGGTGCTTTCCATCTCCACATCAACATCACTTCCTTTGCTCTTGCTTCCAAATTTTGGCATTGAAAATTTCGGCAGGTTGAGTTTCACTTCTGGTATGTCAATACTGATATCGGAAGGTTTATGCTCAGTGTGAGAAGTTTCTCCTTTTGGAATTGCAATATCTACTTCTAATTTTGGTGCTGAGATATCTACCGTGGGAAGTGTGACCGACGGAAGCTTTACCTTCCCTTCAGAATGGGCATCAATTTGACCAACTGATACTGCTGCCTTTGCCTTCTTTGTTTTTGTATCCATTTCTAGAGCTGGTTTAGAAATGGCCACATCAGCATCTTGCTTTGATTTGGGGAAGGTAATTCCAAATTTTGGCATTTTCATCTTTGGAGACTTAACTGAGATTTCTCTTTCTCCATCCTGAGGAGATGTTTTAATATCTGCCTCCCCACCTTTTTTAAATTTGGGCCCAGAAATCCCAAGTTTGCGGAGAGAAAACTTTGATGCTTTGAATTTAATCTCACTATCAGTGGCCAATTCTCCTGTCACTTCTTCTTTGCTTAATCCTTCTATGCCAACCTTTGGCAAACTTGCATCAATGTCAACATCTGGTACCTTTGGTGCTGTAATGGCAACGGAGGGCATCTTCATGGATGGTAGTTTCAGTTTAGCTTCTATGCCCTCTACATCTGGCCCTTCTAGTTTCACTTTTGGGAGCTTAATGTCAGATGTTTCCTCATCCGAGGGCTTTCCTAATCCTATCTCAATTTTTGGCAGGCTTATCTTTGCTCCTCTGTCAACATGATCCACACCTCCAAATTCAGGTCTCTTCATTTCTGTGCTAGCTCTTGGTAAAGAGATGTCACTAGTGATCTTTGGAACATTAATTTCAACAGACATGTCTTTGGTCACATCAGTAAGCTTAGGGAAAGTAATTTTTGGCATCTGCACGTTGCTGTCTGGTTGTTCAATAAGAACGTCTGACCCCTCCAGTTTGACTTTCTGCAAATTTAAATCAATGTCAAACTTTGGTGTGTCTATCTCAAGTGATGGTATTTTGACAGATGGAAAGCCCAATTTTGAATCCCCAATCTCCCCATCAAAGGCAATTGCATCAGATCCCACTTTTGGAGCCTTCAGTCCTATTTTTGGCTTCTCTACAGAAATGTCAAAATCTGCTTTTGATGGGGTTATGTCAACTTCAGCGGGTTTTATCTTGGGAACTGAAATATCTAGTTTTGGAAGAGTGAATTTATCCCCCTTCTCTGTCAGGTCCCCTTCTTTAACTTTTGACTCTATCTTTGGCATATGAATACCAATTTTTGGGGGTGATACTTGAGGTTTTTCAACTTTTGTAGACACCTCCAACTGGGGTAAAGATACTTTGGGCATTTTCAACTTCAGGTCATACTTACTGGCACCTTCCAAGTCTGGTGCTTTGATATCTGCTTTGGTTGTGGGTAAAGTGACTTCCAGTTTCCCTGGTTGAATGTCTGGTACTTTTGGCAATGAAATAGCAAGTGATGGCACCTTTATCGATGAAAATGCTACTTTACCCTCAGACTGTAATTTAGATTCTTTGTCTGAAATGTCCAATTCAGGGTGTGGTATATCAGGCTTATCTTTGGACGGTGAAAGTACAAAACTCGGTAATTTAATTTTAGGCCCTCTCAGTTTGAAATCCTGCCCCTCACTTTCCAGCTTTCCTGTTGTGACTTCATCATGCATTTCGATCTTTTCTCCAGGTATGGAAAGGCCTACTTTAGGCAGCTTGAAAGTCACATCTGGAATTCCAACTGAGAGTTCAGCTTCAATCTGATCATGTTTCAAGTCCACCTGTGGGATGTCACCTTTAATCTTCATAGAGTCTGCATAGGCGTCTTTAACTTTCATTCCAATTTTAGGAGGACTGGCTTTAGGCATCTTCAATGTTACATCTGGAATTTCAGTTTCTCCAGAGATATCTAAATCTAAGTTTGCCTTGGCTAAAGAAATATCAACTTTAGGAGCAGAAACATCCAAGGATGGCATTTTCATGGACAATTTTTGTTTTCCATCAGGACTATCGCCTTCCAGTTTGCCTGTGGGGAAAGAAATTCCAATTTCTGGAGTTTTTATAGAAGGCATTTTAAACCTATCTTCAAATGCTTTAACCTCAATATCTTTTTTTATTTTGGGGGGAGAAACTTCCATCTCAGCAGTGGAGGTTTTTGCAGACTTGCCAAACGTTGGCAGTTTGATTTGGAAACCTTTCACAGCACCACCAGTTGGCTCATCTACAACCACACCTTCAGGTTTTGCTAGGCTCAAGTCCATGTCAAGTTTAGGTGGGGCAATTTCCACAGTGGGAAATGTAATCTCGGTTTTGGGTTTTCCTTCAACAGTGATGTCTGATTTCTTATCACAAACTGATGTGCAAATTCCAACTGTTGACACATGGGGTGTGCTAATTTTTATATCTGGTGCCTCCACCTCAATGTGGGAAGATGGAACTTTAATTTCCACATCTGGAATTTTGGCTGAAGCATTCATCATAGCCATTTTAATACTTTCTGTTGTTGATATCTCTTGTGTATCAGTCTTCATTGTTGGCAGAGGTATATCAAGTTCAACTTGTGGGGTTTTGGTTTCAATCTCCAACTTTGGAACAGAAAGTTCAACTTCTGGTTTTGACACTGTGGCTTCTACCTTAGGTTTTTTAATTTTAGGAACAGAGATTCCAAACTTGGAGTCAGCTTTATCCTTTTCTTCTGTAACAGGACTGCCTTTTGGTAATGATGTCTTGATTTCAGGGACTTCCACAGAAACAGCTCCTGCTGCTGCTTCTTTGACTCTTAGACGAGGAAACTTCATTTTTGCCCATTTTTGTTCCCCATTGGAAGCTTTTGTGGTAACCTCAGTTGTCTTGGTTACAGTGCTGGTCTCAGTCACAGATTTCGTTTTTAAAAGCTTGGAGAATTTGGGAAAGGAGAATTCAACGTCTACAGGTGGAATTTCCATGCTGCCCACGGATATTTCAGACCCTTTCAAAGCTTCCATGGAACCTTCTTCTGAAACCTTTACTTGACTTGGAACCTTCTTCTTTTTCTTCTTTACCGGCGTAAGGCTTTTAACGGTCTGAAAAGACATATAAAGACATGTCTCATTAGTAAATTGTTCAGTCATTTGACCTCATCATTATGGAAAACTGTATAACACTAGTTATAACACTGGGAACAGCTGTGGGTATAAGTTCTAAAGTTGGATGACACCCTGACCCAAAAAGCCTTTACTAACGCCACTTTCCATTACCTGTCATCACTAATCCACAAATATCCTCCAGCCCTAACAATGACATGCTCCTTGCATCTTCTCTTATCACCTCTACCCATGCTAGGCTACAGGACTTCTCTCACAGGACACCAACACTCTGAAACGCACTCTCCCCAAGATATCAGACTTTCCCATAGTTTGCCTTTCGTTAAGCGCTCCCTAAAGACATTTGTATTCAGAGAAGCCTACCACTAAACTCAGTAACTAACGCATTCCACTTACCCAATAAATGTTCTCAACTCACTCTTGCAGTGCACGCCTCCTGTTTCTCAACTGTCCTATCCATCTAGATTGTAAGTTCCCACAGGAAAAGTGCCCTCAACTCCGACTCTGTGCCAAATTTTGTATTGTCTCACATGTATTGTTCCTTTGCCTTATAATTTGTACCAATTGTGCCCATCTACAGCGCTGCGGAATGTGTTGGTGCTTTATAAATAAAGTATAATATTAATAATTCCTGCTGAAAGATCGCAAAGTTTGTACATAAGTCCATGAATTCTGTGTAAACCACTAAACTAAAAGTACATTAACAAAAAGATGGAATATAAAAGTAGAGAATAAAGGAAATGTATACTTTGTAAAGCAATTGATATAAATGGGATTTACCATTTTAGGCATTTTTGCCTTTGGACCCTTGACCTCCACACTCCCAGAAGTTGGTGACACTGTGACATCGGCTGATGGCACGGTCCTTTTTAGGCAGAAGGAGACTTTGTATTGTTCAGCACACTGCAGGATTCTCAGAGCATCTTCATACTTCACATTTTCGAAAAAGACACGGGCGCTCAGGATCTGGTCACCTATTGGAAAGAGGACGGGACATTGTTGAGGGTGAGGGCTGCCGACAGCTAGGTGCCTACATGGCCAAAAAGCCCAACCGTGACTGGTCTTACCTTCTAAAAGAGGCAAGGTTTTGGCAGCGGGAGAGTCTTTTAGGAGGTCTGAGATGAAAAGTCCTTCTTTACCTCCTCCAGAGATACTGATGCCACTCATGCCACTTTGGGGTTCAGTCTCTACTATCACTTCCACCATCTCAGAGGCTTTCAGTTTTTCCTGTTGAGCAGACATATAATGCACATTTTTTAGGATCTAAATGTGTCACCCATCCAATCGCTTCAGTGTCTCAGCCACTCTCCTAATTACCATCTTAAATTGTGTGTCTCTGTCTATATCAGATGCTCAATGACATTTGTTGAAAAACACTGTAAGTGTGCAAACTTCACTTAAAGGACAAATGTTACCTCAAAATTTTTATTTGTTTTTATCACTTTTATTGATAGTTTTGGTCACCATAGCAATTCAAAATAAACAACCAAATGATAATCTTTAAGGTAAAATGTATAGTGTAACGTAACATAACAATAACATAACGGAGGCATTCTCAGGCAGTCATACGAGTTATTATAGAGTTATAAAGGTACATAGATTCAATTATAAGACCGTTAATCACAAAGAGGTAGAATCATTGAATAGTGGCATTTGAAGGTTATTTTGTGGGGCAGACTGGGCCCTTAATGGTGTGATTTACCTACGCTCGGCTAGCCAAGGGGCTTCACATCTTACTCAAAACTATTTTTTTTTTTAAATAATCCTTTCATCAAATATTGGAAGAAAATAGATTTTTTTTGTTTAGTTTTAATGAAGTATATGTGAAAAAAATCTTCATCCCTATCTTTAGTATATGACCGAATCCTTCAGCCATATACATACACCTTGGATCAGACCATGTTTCTAAACTGATGGTTAGTCTTCGTGGTCTTCCTGCCATGTTTTTAAACCATGAAATGAGATGAAATTAGCTTTGGGGTGTTATAAGATGAGAAAAGGGCCACAATTTCATAACACGGTGCAGAGAATTTGTGATAAGTATAATTTTACTTGTACAATGCCTGGCAATCTGAAATATATCCTTCAGTTCCATTGTTCAAAGGGACAATAATTCCAATGATCACCCCGTGAGACACACCGCTACTACCTCTGTGATGTTGATGTGAGTTTCCATCCTGGCGTCGGTCTCTCCGCAGGTTTCTCTCTGTACTTTCTGCTGCAGAACTTTCTTCAATTCTGCGTGCAACTTTTCTTTCTGTGCCTGAATGTAAGAAACATGCCAAATCACTGGTTTAATTCGCAGAAATCACTTTAAACAGCATGACCCCTATCAACACAGAGGGAAATAACTACAAAAGGTGGCTATTCAAAGCCGTCAATAAAGAATATCTTAAAATCGGTTTCAATAAAATGCTGAAGAAATTTGTTTTACGAGGGTCAGTCAAAACTTATCCGCACTCCTGTTATATTAAAATTTCAGTTAGCTGGTTACTGTCTCCCCAGTCACTGCGGCTCCATTGTGAATGTGTTACGTCAGTTCATTTGTAAGTGCGGTGCAAAAAAAAAATGGCTGCCCCACTTGTGATTTGCATGAGAGAAGATCAGCGTGCCATCATACGGTTTTTGTGGTGCTGATTTTTATTGAAGGTATTAAAGCATCCTCCCTATAGTCCTGACCGCCGCGCCGGCTGGACGTGGGGCACCTGAGCTCCTCTATGAATCCCCAATATCCAGCTCAAAACAACCTTAGCTCTCCTGAATAATCGTACCGCAGCTATAAGAAGGCGAGGGGGAACCTAAACACAACTTTCAGAGTGAATAACGACCCCGTCCTGCCGGCGAGGATGACTGCTGGACGTCTGGGATTGCGGCCTGTCGTGAGGCTCTGGCGGGAGATGCGGCCGGTCTCCCGTGCTTAGTCCGGCGGGACCTCCCACACTCTTAGCGAGGGCCCCGTTCACCCCCCGCGTGTGCTGGGGGGGGGTTATCCCGGACCCCACCGGGGAAGCAGCGACCACCTATGAAGCCTGAGCGACAAACTGAGCAACCAGGGACCGCATGGCAAAAAACAAAATGGCTGCCGCATCCATCACCAGCGGGAGAACAAGCAGCCCGCAGACACACACTCTTGCCGTACGCCAGACAACTCTAAGAAGGAAACGTTCAGCATGTAAGCAAGGCTCACACCTGCAATACCTGAGGCAACATCTCACATGGTCAACGGTAGTGGAACTGAGGGAACTCAATCGGGACTCTAACCGTGAATAAGCACAGAAGTGCAACGGACTCGAGTCACAAGCTTCCTCTCTCATATACTGGAGGCTGCCACTAGCAGATACCAGAGACTAGCCACATCCCTGGCAAACAAATTGCAAGGGACCTGAACACAGCAAGGACACTGAGGCAGGGATGATCAAGTGGTAGCTACCCCTATATGCCCAAAGTAGTTGCAGACTACTGCATACCCTGTGTTTAAACACCTTATCTTTAACAAACGCTATGTGTATACTGCAGCTGACTCTCCTTCTGTAGCTCCCCATAGAAAGCAATTATGAAGCTTTACAATGCCTGAGCTTGCATGTGAGGCCAATTCGGAAAACCTAGCGCTCTTCTGCCCCCCTGGTGGTTAAATTTATTTAAGCATACAGAAATCTATACTTGACTCTTATACCTTCACGAAAAATGTGTAATTGTTATGCATGCCACGTCTATGTAATATTATGCCACTCTTGTTTGTCAGCTTGAATAACATAAAAATGAGACAGTTACTCACAGGAGATGTTGCACTGTGTTAACGTAACCCTAAGCTGTAAAAAATGTACATCCCCTTGTTTTTGTTCTATACCCCATATAACAAATGTCTCAATAAAAAATAGATTTAAAAATTCTTTTATTTTTTTTAAAAAGCAGCGGTGGTTAACTTCCTTAGCTAACTGAGCTATAATGTAGCAGCTTCCTCTGTAACCCATCCTCGTATCATGGAACTGATACAGTGTGAATACAGTAACACAGGAATTCTGTCAGGATCCCCTCACTTCAAATCGCCTGCAGATTGGGCCGTGATAAGGTAAATTTCACAACAAAACAGAACATATTGACAATTCATGAATCATAGAAACTTTCTTATTTGAAACTACTTACAGTAAACTCAGGGCTGTCAGTATTTTCCTAATTTGGAGATTTAGGGGATCGATTTACTAAACAGTGAATTGAGGCGTTAGGAACCATTTGCTAAATTTAGACTAAAACGTTACATAATCCAAGATTGTTTCCAAGCTGGCCCTCTGACAGTTTGCCACATCCTTTTTACTTTTGGCTGGTTAAACTCCTCTGCTTGTGAAAAGGTTAAATTCCCTGACTGCTGCCTTCTGGGCATGAAACGGTTAAATGTCCATTGGTGTTTTCCAAAAAGGTTAAGGTGTCCTATCAGTTCTTCATTTGCACGTAAAGGGTTAACTTTTACTGGTGGTTCTGCTCATGATAAGATTACATCCCATTTTCCTGTGGAATGGTTAAAAACACGTGACTGTTCTCTCTCTGCCAATGAAAGAGTTAAACTCCCTGTTGTTATATCCCAATTGTTGAAGGGACACTCTACGCACAAAGACAGCTTTAGCCAAATTAAGCATTTTCGTATTGCTGTTAGTGTAACTGAGTGTATTTAGTGTATAGATCATGTATCTGTAGTCTCACTGCTCAATTCTCTGTCATTTAGGAGTTAAATCACCTTGTTTCTATTTATGAAGCCATAGCCACATCTCCCCTGGCTGTGACTGACACAGCTTGCATGAATACAAAATGGTTTAATTTTCAATCAGATCTGACAGCACATTGTGTTTACTTTAGAAGTTCATATCTCCTGATGAGCTTTAATCACAAACATGAGGATCCTGCAGGCTATTAACAGAGCAGGAGATAAATTCTAAATTAAACACAATGTGCAATAAGGGAAGCTAAAAACTAGACTATTTTTCAGGAAGTGTGCAGGGAGGATGTGTGAGTCTCAGCCAGGGGAGGTGTAGCTAGGGCTGTTTAAACTATAAAGTGATTTAACTCCTAAAAGGCAGACATATTGCAGGGGCAGGATATATACACAAAAACTACATTCTCTTAATTGTTAAATCCCCTAATTGTTAAATCCTGCTTGAAAAATCCCCATGGTTGCTACATGACGTTGTTATGGTGCGAGTAGGTTCCTGGGCACCGATTTACATCAAGAGTTTAAATGGTTAATAAATGGTTTAACTACAAAGTGTTGAATCCAGCACCCACTCCCTCTGCATCTCGTTTCAACGCAGTCCGAGACTTGATTCAGGAATCTGATAGGCTAAAATCATCAGCTAAAGCGCTCAATGCACATTTCTGAAAACGTTTTGTGAATGGGAATGACCCCTCTGTTCTAGATGCCCAGGAATAGGCTGATACCCATTGTACATGGATAATCCCCCCCCCCCCTACCCATGAATTAGACGGAGCTCGCACTCATTCTCACCGCTTGGTCCGAGTCTTTGACTTCCTCTGGGGACAGATGGGGGCGGCCAGCGGGGGGAGACCTTTGCTTCAGGGGACTAAACTTATCTTTTACTTTTTCTGCCTGTAAATAAAAATAAATAAACGTTTAAATAAGAGTCTGATTAAACGACAGGAACCACTCTCTAATACTGAGCTCAACTACTAACCTGGGGTAACTCACCAGTATTAGAAGAATCAGACATTACATTATATAGCAATGTGTGTTAATCAGACATTACATTATATAGCAGTGTGTGTGAATCAGACATTACATTATATAGCAATGTGTGTGAATCAGACATTACATTATATAGCAGTGTGTGTGTATCAGACATTACATTATATAGCAATGTGTGTGAATCAGACATTACATTATATAGCAGTGTGTGTGAATCAGACATTACATTATATAGCAGTGTGTGTGTATCAGACATTACATTATATAGCAGTGTGTGTGTATCAGACATTACATTATATAGCAGTGTGTGTGTATCAGACATTACATTATATAGCAGTGTGTGTGTATCAGACATTACATTATATAGCAGTGTGTGTGAATCAGACATTATATTATATAGCAATGTGTGTGAATCAGACATTACATTATATAGCAGTGTGTGTGTATCAGACATTACATTATATAGCAATGTGTGTGAATCAGACATTACATTATATAGCAGTGTGTGTGTATCAGACATTACATTATATAGCAGTGTGTGTGTATCAGACATTACATTATATAGCAGTGTGTGTGTATCAGACATTACATTATATAGCAGTGTGTGTGTATCAGACATTACATTATATAGCAGTGTGTGTGAATCAGACATTATATTATATAGCAATGTGTGTGAATCAGACATTACATTATATAGCAGTGTGTGTGAATCAGACATTATATTATATAGCAATGTGTGTGTATCAGACATTACATTATATAGCAGTGTGTGTGTATCAGACATTATATTATATAGCAGTGTGTGTGTATCAGACATTACATTATATAGCAATGTGTGTGTATCGGACATTACATTATATAGCAATGTGTGTGAATCAGACATTACATTATAAAGACTGCGCTACAAGTCACCAAACATGCACTTTACAGGAGCTGAGATTCATAACAATAGTTTTAGGATAAATCTCTAAACTTTAAACACAGAGTGGTGTGCGCAGGTTTAAAGGGACAAGCATTGTATTACTGGTTCCTCTCTGCGGCTGGATATTTCTACTTACAGAGCGTCCCAATGTTTTCCCGGACACAGGTCTTTCCAATTCTGCTTCCTCTGCTCCTGAGGATAAACAGGAAAAGAAAAACAATTAAAACAATCCTACGTGTAGCAAGAGAGAAAATATCAGGAACATCGACCATTGGAAAACCTGGCGTTGGGCCACATACTTCACATTGCGTTTATCGATTAATTGTATAAAACTAAACACAACGATCTCCAAACATCCTGCCATTTAATCCCAGGGATCTAATAAAATGCCCCCTTTTACCAGCCTGGCCACCGGCAAATCGTCCCTCGCAGATTCAAAACCTACACGCAAAGTCCAGATTCAAAACAGATTGGGGGAAATAAACTGAAACTGTCATTCGTATATTTACTAAAAGGAATTTGATTGCATGAGATTTCATGTCGACCAACTTATATGTGGTTTTGTTTTTCTACAAGCATAAATAATTCAATAACACCGTTAGCTGGTTGGATAAGCAAGTAACACAAATAGTACATTGATAAAAAAAAAAGACAAAATGGGGAGGGGAGATAGCCAGGGAAGTGAAGGGTTAAAAAGGATCGACACAATGAAACAGGCAGCACAAAGTGACCGGCTGAACCAGCCCAGCCAATCCCACTTTCTTTCAGCTAAGATGCAAAGGTTGTAAATCCCCATTATAAAAGGTGAAGGAAAACAAAGGCCCCGATTCGCTCCTCGTTTTTATGGGTCCCCTGTTTTTAAATGAATATTTTAGCACTTTGCTGGCTGCCAGGTAATACAGCCATCCAATCTAATAATTTCTGTTGGAGCCAGCCTAAGAAATTCTTTGTTTAAGAAGGAATTACTGAGTTAGCCCTGTCCCACCTCATTTCAGTCATTCAGCTCAAAGTTTGATTTTTTTTTAGTTGGGAATTGATCCAAATTCAGTGAAGGCTCAAAATTGCAATTATTGTTTTTGGGTTGAAATCCTTACCAAAAATTCACCCTTTAGTAAATCTTACTGCAAATAAAAAAAAATAGAACTTGTTTGTTTCTTTGATACTTTCTTTTCCAGTCTAAATTCTTATACTGCGTCTATATTTGCGTCATTTTATTGAACGATTTATCGTATCCACGCAACCACTCCTGCGTTCAGACTGCGCTCCTGTCCTGTAACGAATTAAACCGGCTTGTGTTTATGGCTAGAAATAGCGCCTTTATTTACACAAATGCCGAAGACGTCGGAGGTTTACATGTCACTCACTGTGCTGGAGATTTTATTATTTAAAAAGAATTTGTTTCAGAAAGCTGAGGCAGACCCTCCCGAGTGTCCCCTCTCCCCCGTGGACCCCCAGATATCTATTTTAGGAAAGCCAAGCTGGATGACTTTAAACATATGGAAGATTCACGCCAACACCTGCCCCACTCACTCTGCGGTGAAACGGCTTAAATAAGTTCAAAGATGAAGAACATTTCGGGGAAGGGCCCTGATCCACATTTAAAAAGGTTCAGATGGGTCACTGCCCCCCCCCCCCACCCCCTCTGGAAAGCACACATGGCTGTTTTTATTCACAAGGTACTTAAAGTCTAAATAACAACCGTATGATTGAACAACGACAATGCCAAGTGAACGCTGCAGGGCACAGTAACTGCTCATCACAGATTGCTATCTCCAACAGGCATCCGACATGCTCAATGGTTTCACATGTAGCCCTTCCAGAAACACTTCTTGGGGAACTCAAAGGGTTAAACACGAGGGCATAGAATGGGATCTGAGCCTGAATTTGACAGCAGGAATGATAAGATACGACTCTGGGGTGGATAAGTTGGCCCCCTGTGTGGAATTATTGCTGACGTCTGCTGAAACAGGGCTATTTTACCACATTTTGATTTACCTATAACCGACATAAAATGTTCTTCCCATTCTTTCAATATAATAATAATAACCAGTATTTAAATAGTGCCTTCCTCCCAGTGGGACTCAGCGCAGGTTCTCGTAATTAACTAAATCGGCAGCTGAATAATAATAGATGTTATAAAAAGCACCAAACTCTCAGGATGTTTGCAAAGTTTTGGTGACATAAAGGGTCAGTTATTTAATTTTTTTAAAATATTTTTTACAATTAGCACTTTGGGCATTTTCTTCTTTAGTCCCTCTGTTACTGGCCGATGATAAAATATTTGCTTTGTACATAATAATAATAATAATAATAATAATAATAATGTCATGGTAACGACTTGCCATGAAAGAATGAATTCAGTTTTACCTATTAATTTATGGAAAAACAACATAAACACGGGCATAGAAATCATGAAGGGGGTGAGGGGGGAGGCAGATGAACAGTCCCCAAACAATTACATTTAAATATAATAAGATGGATAATGTAATAAAAAGCCATGGATTGCCAGGCCGTGAGTGCTGCTAAAAACCAGACAAGGTAAGAGTGAAATAGTTACTACAAAGATCTGTGGCAAGCTGGTAAGTCCGTGCAGGGCACGGTGCATTGCCCATACCAGCCGCCCACGTCGGGCACCGCGCTGCCCACTCTCACACATTACATGAAAGGTCACAGCTTCATAGATGGAATTCCCGGTGCCTCGGGGAACAATGGGCCGGCATCCCAGGACCCCCTCAAAAGGAATTGCAGGCATTCCAAGGAAAGGCTTTTACACTGTCTCACAATGGATCCCTTAATACGCAGTAACCCTCTAACTACCAGACCACTTGGGCAGCTATCTTGCCATAACATGTCCACACAAAGAAAGCGTATAGGCAGCTAGACCTAAAAACACATGGGAACTGGAGAGTCATTTTCTACAGATATACTATAGATATACAAGTTAATAGTACTTTATAGATCCCGGTAAGATCTCACCTAGAATATTGTGTTCAGTTCTATAGAGCAGATCCCAGGAGGATATAGAGAGGTAGTGATAACACTTTATAGATCCCCGGTAAGATCTCACCTAGAGTATTGTGTTCAGTTCTCTAGAGCAGATCCCAGCAGGATATAGAGAGGTAGTGATAGTACTTTATAGATCCCTGGTAAGATCTCACCTAGAGTATTGTGTTCAGTTTTATAGAGCAGATCCCAGGAGGACATAGAGAGGTAGTGATAGCACTTTATAGATCCCGGTAAGATCTCACATAGAGTATTGTGTTCAGTTCTATAAAGCAGATCCCAGCAGGATATAGAGAGGTAGTGATAGCACTTTATAGATCCCTGGTAAGATCTCATCTAGAGTATTGTGTTCAGTTTTATAGAGCAGATCCCAGGAGGACATAGAGAGGTAGTGATAGTACTTTATAGATCCCTGGTAAGATCTCACCTAGAGTATTGTGTTCAGTTTTATAGAGCAGATCCCAGGAGGACATAGAGAGGTAGTGATAGTACTTTATAGATCCCGGTAAGATCTCACCTAGAGTATTGTGTTCAGTTCTATAGAGTAGATCCCGGGAGGACATAGAGAGGTAGTGATAGTACTCTATAGATCCCCGGTAAGATCTCACCTAGACTATTGTGTTCGGTTCTATAGAGCAGATCCCAGGAGGACATAGAGAGGTAGTGATAGTACTTTATAGATCCCCGGTAAGAGCTCACTTAGAGTATTGTGTTCAGTTCTATAGAGCAGATCCCAGGAGGACATTGAGAGGTAGAGATAGTACTTTAGAGATCCCCGGTAAGATCTCACCTAGAGTATTGTGTTCAGTTCTATAGAGCAGATCCCAGGACATAGAGAGGTAGTGATAGTACTTTATAGATCTCCGGTAAGATCTCACCTAGAGTATTGTGTTCAGTTCTATAGAGCAGATCTCAGGACATAGAGAGGTAGTGATGGCACTTTATAGATCCTGGTAAAACCTCACCTAGAGTATTGTGTTCAGTTCTATAGAGCAGATCCCAGGAGGACATTGAGAGGTAGAGATAGTACTTTAGAGATCCTGGTAAGATCTCACCTAGAGTATTGTGTTCAGTTCTATAGAGCAGATCCCAGGACATAGAGAGGTAGTGATAGTACTTTATAGATCCCGGTAAGATCTCACCTAGAGTATTGTGTTCAGTTCTATAGAGCAGATCCCAGGAGGACATAGAGAGGTAGTGATAGTACTTTATAGATCCCCAGTAAGATCTCACCTAGAGTATTGTGTTCAGTTCTATAGAGCAGATCCCAGGAGGACATAGAGAGGTAGTGATAGTACTTTATAGATCCCCGGTAAGATCTCACCTAGAGTATTGTGTTCAGTTCTATAGAGCAGATCCCAGGAGGACACAGAGAGGTAGTGATAGCACTTTATAGATCCCCGGTAAGATCTCACCTAGAGTATTGTGTTCAGTTCTATAGAGCAGATCCCAGGTGGACATAGAGAGGTAGTGATAGTACTTTATAGATCCCCGGTAAGATCTCACCTAGAGTATTGTGTTCAGTTCTATAGAGCAGATCTCAGGACATAGAGAGGTAGTGATAGTACTTTATAGATCTCCGGTAAGATCTCACCTAGAGTATTGTGTTCAGTTCTATAGAGCAGATCCCAGGAGGACATAGAGAGGTAGCGATAGTACTTAATAGATCCCCGGTAAGATCTCACCTAGAGTATTGTGTTCAGTTCTATAGAGCAGATCCCAGGCGGACATATAGAGGTAGTGATAGCACTTTATAGATCCCTGGTAAGATCTCAGCTAGAGTATTGTGTTCAGTTCTATAGAGCAGATCCCAGGAGGACATAGAGAGGTAGTGATAGCACTTTATAGATCCCTGGTAAGATCTCAGCTAGAGTAATGTGTTCAGTTCTATAGAGCAGATCCCAGGAGGACATAGAGAGGTAGTGATAGCACTTTATAGATCCCTGGTAAGATCTCAGCTAGAGTAATGTGTTCAGTTCTATAGAGCAGATCCCAGGAGGACATAGAGAGGTAGTGATAGCACTTTATAGATCCCGGTAAGATCTCACCTAGAGTATTGTGTTCAGTTCTAAAGAGCAGATCCCAGGAGGACATAGAGAGGTAGCGATAGTACTTAATAGATCCCCGGTAAGATCTCACCTAGAGTATTGTGTTCAGTTCTATAGAGCAGATCCCAGGCGGACATATAGAGGTAGTGATAGCACTTTATAGATCCCTGGTAAGATCTCAGCTAGAGTATTGTGTTCAGTTCTATAGAGCAGATCCCAGGAGGACATAGAGAGGTAGTGATAGTACTTTATAGATCCCTGGTAAGATCTCACCTAGAATATTGTGTTCAGTTCTATAGAGCAGATCCCAAGAGGACATAGAGAGGTAGTGATAGCACTTTATAGTTCCCTGGTAAGATCTCACCTAGAGTATTGTGTTCAGTTCTATAGAGCAGATCCCAGGAGGACATAGAGAGGTAGTGATAGCACTTTATAGATCCCTGGTAAGATCTCAGCTAGAGTAATGTGTTCAGTTCTATAGAGCAGATCCCAGGAGGACATAGAGAGGTAGTGATAACACTTTATAGATCCCGGTAAGATCTCACCTAGAGTAATGTGTCCAGTTCCATAATAGTTAAATTAACTATAGCTCATGCAGAAAATATTAATAACTGTTTACATAAAAGTGGTTCTGTCACCTAGCATTTTTTACATATTCAATAATTAATTTAAATATTCGCCTCAGACCTGGGAATTTTTCTCCTAATAAAATTCTTCACTAAAATACCTTTTATGTTTCAGCAATAGCTCTTTTATAAAGCTGAGACTCTCATTGATAGTAACTGACCAGCAATTTGTGTCAATAATATCGACTTTCACAGGACAAAACTGTGTTATCAGTCACCTTGCTGCTATACAACTTGCTCTGAAACGATTTTATTTGTTTTATAAAAAAACGCAGCTTAACCAACACACAGAGCTGTAATAGGCTGTGTGCGCTGGGAACTCAAGCTACGAGCCTCCCTTTAAGACTGTAGAGAGCTGCAACGTTCAGCCTACAAAGACCTCAAGTGTTAAGTCTGAGGAAGGCTGCAGGGTTTAGCATCTTAGCAGTATGTCTATGGAGAGCTGCTGGGTTCAGTGATACATTTAGAGAAGTAGAGTTCTATGGAGAGCTGCTGGGTTCAGAGTTGCAGAGTTCTATGAAGAGCTGCTGGGTTCAGAGTTGCAGAATTCTATGGAGAGCTGCTGGGTTCAGAGATGCAGAGTTCTATGTAGAGCTGCTGGGTTCAGAGTTGCAGAGTTCTATGGAGAGCTGCTGGGTTCAGAGTTGCAGAGTTCTATGCAGAGCTGCTGGGTTCAGAGAGGCAGAGTTCTAAGGAGAGCTGTTGGGTACAGAGTTGCAGAGTTCTAAGGAGAGCTGCTGGGTTCAGAGAGGCAGAGTTCTATGGAGAGCTGCTGGGTTCAGAGTTGCAGAGTTCTATGGAGAGCTGCTGGGTTCAGAGTTGCAGAGTTCTATGGAGAGCAGCTGTGTTCAGAGTTGCAGAGTTCTATGGAGAGCTGCTGGGTTCAGAGAGGCAGAGTTCTATGGAGAGCTGCTGGGTTCAGAGAGGCAGAGTTCTATGGAGAGCTGCTGGGTTCAGAGTTGCAGAGTTCTATGGAGAGCTGCTGGGTGCAGAGTTCTATGGAGAGTTGCTGGGTTCAGAGTTGCAGAGTTCTATGGAGAGCTGCTGGGTGCAGGGGGATTCTATGGAGAGCTGCTGGGTTCAAGTTGCAGAGTTCTATGGAGAGCTGCTGGGTTCAGAGAGGCAGAGTTCTATGGAGAGCTGCTGGGTTCAGAGTTCTATGGAGAGCTGCTGGGTTCAGAGTTCTATGGAGAGCTGCTGGGTTCAGAGAGGCAGAGTTCTATGGAGAGCTGCTGGGTTCAGAGTTGCAGAGTTCTATGGAGAGCTGCTGTGTTCAGAGTTGCAGAGTTCTATGAAGAGCTGCTGGGTTCAGAGAGGCAGAGTCCTATGGAGAGCTGCTGGGTTCAGAGTTGCAGAGTTCTATGGAGAGCTGCTGGGTTCAGAGTTGCAGAGTTCTATGCAGAGCTGCTGGGTTCAGAGAGGCAGAGTTCTAAGGAGAGCTGTTGGGTACAGAGTTGCAGAGTTCTAAGGAGAGCTGCTGGGTTCAGAGAGGCAGAGTTCTATGGAGAGCTGCTGGGTTCAGAGTTGCAGAGTTCTATGGAGAGCTGCTGGGTTCAGAGTTGCAGAGTTCTATGGAGAGCAGCTGTGTTCAGAGTTGCAGAGTTCTATGGAGAGCTGCTGGGTTCAGAGAGGCAGAGTTCTATGGAGAGCTGCTGGGTTCAGAGAGGCAGAGTTCTATGGAGAGCTGCTGGGTTCAGAGTTGCAGAGTTCTATGGAGAGCTGCTGGGTGCAGAGTTCTATGGAGAGTTGCTGGGTTCAGAGTTGCAGAGTTCTATGGAGAGCTGCTGGGTTCAGAGAGGCAGAGTTCTATGGAGAGCTGCTGGGTTCAGAGTTCTATGGAGAGCTGCTGGGTTCAGAGTTGCAGAGTTCTATGGAGAGCTGCTGGGTTCAGAGAGGCAGAGTTCTATGGAGAGCTGCTGGGTTCAGAGTTGCAGAGTTCTATGGAGAGCTGCTGGGTTCAGAGTTGCAGAGTTCTATGGAGAGCTGCTGGGTTCAGCGTTGCAGAGTTCTATGGAGAGCTGCTGGGTTCAGACTTGCAGAGTTCTATGGAGAGCTGCTGGGTTCAGAGTTGCAGAGTTCTATGGAGAGCTGCTGGGTTCAGAGTTGCAGAGTTCTATGGAGAGCTGCTGGGTTCAGACTTGCAGAGTTCTATGGAGAGCTGCTGGGTTCAGACTTGCAGAGTTCTATGGAGAGCTGCTGGGTTCAGAGATACATTCAGAGTTGCAGAGTTCTATGGAGAGCTGCTGGGTTCAGAGTTGCAGAGTTCTATGGAGAGCTGCTGGGTTCAGAGATACATTCAGAGTTGCAGAGTTCTATGGAGAGCTGCTGGGTTCAGAGATGCAGAGTTATATGGAGAGCTGCTGGGTTCAGAGATACATTCAGAGTTGCAGAGTTCTATGGAGAGCTGCAGAGTTCTTTGGAGAGCTGCTGGGTTCAGAGATGCAGATTTCTATGGAGAGCTGCTGGGTTCAGAGATACATTCAGAGTTGCAGAGTTCTATGGAGAGCTGCAGAGTTCTATGGAGAGCTGCTAGGTTCAGAGTTGCAGATTTCTATGGAGAGCTGCTGGGTTCAGAGATACATTCAGAGTTGCAAAGTTCTATGGAGAGCTGCAGAGTTCTTTGGAGAGCTGCTGGGTTCAGAGATGCAGAGTTCTATGGAGAGCTGCTGGGTTCAGAGATACATTCAGAGTTGCAGAGTTCTATGGAGAGCTGCAGAGTTCTATGGAGAGCTGCTAGGTTCAGAGTTGCAGAGTTCTATGGAGAGCTGCTGGGTTTAGAGATGCAGAGTTCTATGGAGAGCTGCTGGGTTCCTCTTACATTATACTCCAGGATGAACTCAGCAGGAGCCTTGTATAATGAATGTTCAGTTGGTACCTGCTGATATGCAGCCAAAATAATACTGGAGAGTGTAAGACGATGCTGGGATTAATAAAGAGTGAATCAGGGTGACCCATTCTGCTCCAATTCACCCTGTGCTCAGAAAGCTGGAGGCTGGTGCAGCTATAGCACAGTCAGGAATTTCCAGACCTCAGTGAGGACGACTAACTGGCTATTTGAGGCTTTTTTCTCTCCTGGGGCTCTGACCTTTACCCTCTGAATATTCTGAGTGTCTGCGCAGACCCCAGCAGGAGCCAAATGCAGCTCTAGAGTAAAGGTTACTGCATTCAATGCATTGTACAGCACTACGTGCTACTTAGGTGCTTTATTAATAGTATAATAACAAGGCTTTACTAATGTTGATTAAATAATTTATACACTAATAATCGGTAAGCTTCTTTAGAAGAATTATTTAATTATGTATTGGTATAAACATACTGACATTAAACCACTAAAATGGAAACTCCTGGGAACAAGGCTGCATATTACACTGGACACACGTTGCAGGCGGAATGGGCAGATTCTTTGGGGTGAATGGGAAGATGCTCTCGTTAAATGGGCAGATTCCTCCTGTAAATTTCTCAGAGTTTGTCTCAAAGTGAATGAGCAGATTCTCGGGGTCTGCATGTCAAGAAGCTTTCTCCCCAATGTGGCACTGTCTGTCACCAATAATTAATAAGATTTACTAAGAGTCAAGCCGCGCAATGTTAGTGAACCAGGCCTTATGTCCGCGTCAGTTCATGTTAATACAGAGTATCTCTATTAATAATCTCACTTTAATGAACAATGAGGCACGTTTTACAACATCCTCAGCCCAAACCAAAATGAAAATGAATTAATTCCCCCGCGATGTATCTATCCAGCGTTTAAAACTGTACTCTGATACCCAGCAGGGTCATTTAATCGTGACATTTCCAATTGTAGAGATTATTCACAAACAGAGAGTTCTGTAGAACGGACGAGGGAAAAAAAGCAACAAAACAGATGTTGGAAAATGTTCTGCCCTCACACTTGCAATTCCCGTGTCAGTTCTCCGTAACTCGCCATTTAGTGAATTAATCCTACGCTGGCTATCTGTTTCCCGTGCAGGCGGTGGCAGATCCCCCGCTTTATGTTTCCTCATGTACTCAGTCATCATAATCATTCTGCAGCTGTGGCCCTTACTCCATTTTCAGACAAGCTTTGGACACGTTCCGAATTAATCTCTCACTACCACAAACAAGACACCCACACAGCCACACCGTGCCCCAAGACAGGGACACAAATCAGATATATGGAACACCACCACCGAGCCAAGATAACAGAACATCTAAATGTCACACCGTTAGGCGGCTGCGTGGCGAATTTATTCTATATTCTCGGTGAGGAATACTAGAAGTGAAATCCTAATCGCTCAATAAGACTATAACTGACTTGGAAAGTCAACTCAACAAAGTAAACTAAACTCTACAATTCTACTTACAATTTATTACAACGTCATTTGTGTTTAACCCGATAGACGGTTAGTAAAATTATAAGCCCCTTTAATTATTTAAAAAATAACAAGGATTTAAATGCTCTGCGTATGGGTGAGGGGGGTTGCAGTGCTCTGCGTATGTATGAGGGGGGTTGCAGTGCTCTGTGTATGTATGAGGGGGGTTGCAGTGCTCTGTGTAGGGGTGAGAGGGGTTGCAGTGCTCTGTGTATGTATGAGGGGGGTTGCAGTGCTCTGTGTAGGGGTGAGAGGGGTTGCAGTGCTCTGTGTATGTATGAGGGGGTTGCAGTGCTCTGCGTATATATGAGGGGGTGCAGTGCACTGTGTATGTATGAGGGGGGTTGCAGTGCTCTGCATATGGGTGAGGGGCTTGCAGTGCTCTGCGTATGTATAGGGATGAGGGGGGTTGAGGTGCTCTGCGTATGGATGAGGGGGGTTGCAGTGCTCTGCATATGGTTGAGGGGGGTTACAGTACTCTACGTATAGGTGAGGGGGGTTGCAGTGCTCTGTGTATGTATGAGGGGGGTTGCAGTGCTGTGTGTATGCGTGAGGTGTTTTGGCATTCAACATGTCAGCACTGGTGTACATGTATACATTGACGTGTCCCTGTCACATGCCGTACCACTTGCGTCCCACATGCACCTGTCAGATAGTAAGTTAGAGCAGATTATTAAAAATAAAACTATTAAACAATATCGACATATACGAATATCTATGTTCTTGTAATTAATAAATATTCTATAAGCGACTGGCTTGATAACGTTACGGTTACTTCCGATGTCTAATCACGCTCCTGCAATGGAAAATATTTAAGGTATTTAACGTATTGTAGGACGAAGTCAGGAGGAAGGAAGGAGCCCTTCCTGATACATCACAAACTCCCAAAAGTCTCAGACACTGGGGCGTCACGTCGTTCATCCCGCACCCTTCAGTGGTTTGGAGCTAGCAGGCCCCGCTATAGTAGGACTGCATATCCTCTTTACACTCACATCCTTCCTGGGATTGCAGAGCCGAAACGTCATTTTATTTCCCCGGTGAGCAAGCCATGAAATATTCCAAAAGATAGATTTAAAGGGGCACCCTCGTGCTGGCAAAAACGCAAGTATGTCTCCTTCAGATTTGCATGGCCTTTCAAAGCAAATCACAAGAGTTTATTCGCTAATCTGGAAATTGGGGAGAATCGAGAAGAGAATTGTAAATTTTAGGCTAAAATAATAGAATTGGAAATGTAACCGAATTACTAATGTTTTCAGCTTTAATGTTTTGTTGTGAAATGTGTCACTCGTCAATTCTCCGCTGTTCTCAGGTTTAGCGAATTTAATTTTTACTTTGTAACAATAATCTGATTGTCCTTGTGCTACATCACCAGACTGCAACTCCTATCAGTCTTCAGTCAGCCAAGCCTAATGAGCGAGGAGTGCAACTGGCATCAAAGTATTATAGAAACATAGAATGTGACGGCAGATAAGAACCATTCGGCCCATCTAGTCTGCCCAGTTTTCTAAATACTTTCATTAGTCCCTGGCCTTATCTTATAGTTAGGATAGCCTTATGTCTATCCCATGCATGCTTAAACTCCCTCATTGTGTTAACCTCTACCACTTCAGCTGGAAGGCTATTCCATGCATCCACTACCCTCTCAGTAAAGTAATACTTCCTGATATTATTTTTAAACCTTTGTCCCTCTAATTTAAAGGACCACTATAGTGCCAGGAAAACATACTCGTTTTCCTGGCACTATAGTGCCCTGAGGGTGCCCCCACCCTCAGGGTCCCCATCCCGCCCGGCTCTGGAAAGGGGAAAGGGGTTTAAACGTACCTTTTTCCAGCGCTGGGCGGAGAGCTCTCCACCTCCGATCCTCCTCTTCTCCTCCCATGCGGCTGAATGCGCATGCGCAGCAAGAGCTGCGCGCGCATTCAGCCGGTCACATAGGAAAGCATTCATAATGCTTTCCTATGGACGCTCGCGTGCTCTCACTGTGATTTTCACAGTGAGAAGCACGCAAGCGCCTCTAGTGGCTGTCAATGAGACAGCCACTAGAGGAAATAGGGGAAGGCTTAACCCATTCATAAACATAGCAGTTTATCCTAAACTGCTATGTTTATGAAAAAACGGGTTAACCCTAGCTGGACCTGGCACCCAGACCACTTCATTAAGCTGAAGTGGTCTGGGTGCCTAGAGTGGTCCTTTAAGACTATGTCCTCTTGTTGTGGTAGTTTTTCTTCTTTTAAATATCGCCTCCTCCTTTACTGTGTTGATTCCCTTTATATATTTAAATGTTTCTATCATATCCCCCCTGTCTCGTCTTTCCTCCAAGTTATACATGTTAAGATCCTTTAACCTTTTCTGGTAAGGAATTATTAACCCCCCCATTACCCCTACAAATTACAGGGGATGTTACAATATTATTATTATTATAACCATTATAGTTTGCTAGTTTTGCTACATGACACGATTATACACAAACCAGAAACAGAGCAACAAAGCACCCCCAAACACTGTCTGTTTTGGGTGGCGAAGAGGAAACACGTTAAATGTTCTTCAAAACTTGACCAATCTAGAAACTTAATTAACCAGAAAATGTATAATTTTAGAGTTGGTATCAAGACAACTTAAATAACTGCAATATGGTCACAATTTGAGGTAGTAACGCTCCACGTACAATGTGGCTGTTATAAAGCGATGAAATTCTATTCATTTGTAAACGTGAAACCTCTGCATTTGAATCTTCATGATCAATGTCTGCTGGTCAGTGTCTTTATCTACAACAGTTATTTACAAACTTACGTTGTGTGAATTCACCCTTTTCTTATTGTATAAAGCTGTTACTCCAACTTTTGTACACTGGGGACTTTATCCTCTTTTTCTGTTATGAACACAAATAACTTGTCTTTCTTACACTTTTTATTCCTCAAAATGTTTTCTTCTATTTTTTAGACTTTAATTGTGATGGCTGTAGATAAATCATTTGAAAAGCCTATCCAAAAATATTAGATGAAGGCCTTTGTTGGGAAAGTGCACCCTTACACCTCCTTTTTACATTAACACTGTCTGGAAGAGCCTAAACAGGAAAAAAATGGAGAAGATGCAGAACAATATTGGCTCAAACATAAACTGGGCGTGAAAGCAGCCACTTTCTATTCTTAACCCACAGTGAATCTGTGTCAGTGTTGGGCTCCGGACAATTCTCGTAAGATCATGAAATGACTGTGTTGTGGTGTTTCCTCTATAATGAGAAACTTGGCTTCATAACACACAAGACACTCTCTGTTAGACAATGCCACATGGCACTAACTACCAGCTCTGTCCATCCTTGGTCAAGTTTTTTCTACACACGCTTGTCTTGTCTCCCATTGTTTGAAACATATTACTGCTCCATTCTCCTCAATATAGTCTCCTACTTGGGATTAAAATACAAACAATAATTACCTAAGCCAGTAGATAACCATCATTGGTTTAGGAAGCTCTACTACTGTACCTCAACTAAACTTTCAAGTGTATCAGAAAAGTCTTCTTCTCTTCAGGAAAAAAATATGATGAACCATTGACTGTTATCTTACAAACATCTTAAACAAGCGTAAAAGTCCTTTGTGGGCCTACTCTTTCCCCATTCACATAACTTTTTATTGAGGTCTAATAAGGAAGACTCATGTATCTGCGACTGTCTGGAGATGTGTCTCTTCTTATGGTGTGTGAATAAAGAATCAGGTTTTAGCTCCCCATACATTTTATGGAGGGTTTTACTCTTCCACCAAGGCAATATGTGCAGCAAATATGCTTTTGAGATGTCTATGTCTAAATATACAATGTGGTGGACAACTACTGCCAAAAAGAGACATTCAGGCAGTCATCCTTCTATCAAGCTCTTCTATAATTTAGAAAAACTGTAGTGCTCTACCTCCTTCACTTAAAGAGATGACATCCTGTTGACATTGCACCTGCACTTTTCCGTGACAATGCAGACTTGAAGCATATTCTTCAAGTATGACCTTCGTTAACACAATGCATATTAAGCCAAGCTATTACTTAAAGATACTTTTGAAAGTCAATGAATGTAACAGGTGTCTTGATGCACTTTATTGAAAAGGTGTCCATGAAACAACTAAGCATAGGATATCTCATGAAGAACCGATTCCTTGACACTAGAAAAAAAGGTCTTCTGCTCCAGGCTGACTTTTGTACAAAGAAGGTGTTGGGAGCTATCTAGTCCAACCAATATGATACTAACAGAATTTGCAAACACAGACTTTCCCCAGAATGTTTGCTGCTCAGTCCACAAATGAGCAAGATGAAGTATTCAAACACTGGAAGAAAGGACTAAGGACGTGAAGGCATTTCATTAATATTGGGCATATTTTCAATGCAGAGCAGAATTTTACACACATTTGTAGCATTTAGGAGGAAGAAATAATTATTGAAAAACTAAGTGTATCTTTTCCAAGAAAAGTGTTATATTTACATACAACGTAAAAGGTAAGAGCCATCAGTAACATTTCATTTTTAAGAGTCACCAGAAGCCCTTTTGGACATTTGTGGGCCTTCATGTACTGTAGGTTTGTCAATGAGAAGGTCATTATGACAACATTACCAAATCATCTCTAAATGGAAAGAGACCAGGATCTTTAGCGAAGACCTGGCCCAAGGACTTGAGATGAAGACAAGATCGAGAGTGCAGACTCACCAGGATATCTTGTTGTTGTGTTGTTGAGTCTCTGTAGCAGAAATAGCCAAAATATAGCCCCACCCCATCTGCTACAAAACTACATTTCCCATGATGTATTGCCTGCTATAAGAGTTGCAGTAAAAATAAAGAGTGTAATTAGTGTGGTTAAGTCACCAGGCAGCCATTTTAACTCAGAGAGAGGTTTCGTGGCCCCATGAAATTACATGTGTTTATAGATAAATTGTAATATTTTGAGCAATGGATTTAGTTTTGGAGCTTAATTTACATTGACAGTTTAACAGAAACTGAGATATTACTGCTTTTAAAAATAAATCTCGACCTTATACCCATTGTACAATGCTAGGGAATTTTGCTGGCACGATATAAATAATAATAATAATAATAATAAAAGACTATAATGTATTATTCAGTAAGAGTGACAATTTGATTAATTAAAAATGTTAAATGCAGAGTTTAGACCAAAAACTAAGCTGGCTTTGTGTTGAATTGACATGGAAATTGAACATTTTAGGCTGAAATAGACAAAAACTCCCTCAATTCAATCAGTTTTCAGCCTGGCTATCTTGGCTTAAATATTTTCGTTTTCATCAATTGTCGGTTTCTGGTTTGTGAATAATCCCCCAAATTGTTGCATTTTACGCATTTTCAAAGCAGAAACACATGACCGGCTAAAATTTCTAAAACATCTTTCTAGTAATCTGACTAATTACAAAAAACACAAGAATGAATGCGATCGAAGTAAGGTATATATAGAGAGGTAATGCAGTAACACCATAGTTCAATGTTTAGTAAGTAAACCTTCGAGGGTTTCAAGTGCCCATTATAGGGGAATATACGGCCCTGAAAGAATACAATAAACAATATTTTATAAATGTGATGTTGAAGAATTTGGGAAGGAGATGGTGAGTGAAATAGATACAAAGTCTTCATTTTGAAAGCCTTCCCCTTCTCTGAAATCTCACCCCATCCCCAGCGGCACCGATTATCTTCCTAATTCTAATTAGTTCATGGTTAACATGTCTGACTTAGGAAACATGTCTGTGGTCTGACAGGCTACAAAAAGGGCATCACTACCGGTCATGAGGTGTGAAAAATAAAATTCAATGTAGAAATCAACACCTCTTCATCCTGTAAGTGGGCTCATCTTAGCTCCCTGGCAATCATTGTTGTAAGCTCCACCCATTACACCTGGCAATCAGCACAGAGCACACAGAGAAGATGAGAAATGATACAATGTTTCTGTTTCTTCTCATCATTTGCATTGTGTGCCCAGGCTGTGCCTTCTCTGAACTAGTTTATGATGTCATATGGTGAATCTCTCATATAAACTTAAAAGAAAATGGACCATCACTTCACAAAAATGTTAACACAAGTTATAGCTGAATTTCTGAGTTTTATTCAATTGGTGCAATTTCTAGAGAGTGATGTTTCAACATTAAAGTATATTATACAGATTCTAGATTTTTTTAAGATTAAAGGGACAGTCTAATCCCCATAATAAATTATAGCGCATTGCACAACACTGGTACAAGGAGGTCCTATGTCCCTGTCTCCCGGTGTCTGCAAAATCCTACAGTTATTACCCTTTCCATTACTGGGAGTCATCAAAGCAACAAGGTACACATACGTTTCTGTCTCCCCTCACCAAGCTTCCACTGCGCACATACCAGTAAGTTCTGAATATTTTTATATGATATCAGATCCTATGGATCACCTATAAAAACCATTAAATACCAGTAAGTTCTGAATATTTTTATATGATATCAGATCCTATGGATCACCTATAAAAACCATTAAATACGGGTGTCACCTCCTGGTCTGTGTCTCATTAATCAGAGTATTCATCCAAATAATTAAATAATGCATTAATGCATATTATTATTATTATTATTATTGCCATTTATATAGCGATTCCGTAGCGCTTTACAATATTATGAAAGGGGATTTAACTATAAATAGGACAATTACAAATAAACTTACAGGAACAATAGGTTGAAGAGGACCCTGCTCAATCGAGCTTACATTCTATAGGAGGTGGGGTGTAAGACACGTTAGGACAGGAATGTGTAATCAAATAAGGTGGGCTGCCCTTTAGGAGAGGGCAAGAGACGGGTATGTGAGGTAGGGGTTAGTCTTGAAGGCCATAAGCTTTCCTAAAGAGATGGGTTTTAAGGCACTTCTTAAAAGATGCAAGACTAGGGGAGAGTCGGATGGCGGTAGGCAGGCTATTCCATAGGAAGGGAGCCGCCCGCGAGAAGTCCTGCAAGCGCGAGTTGGCCGTACGGGTGCGGACAACGGACAGGAGGTGGTCACGGGCAGAGCGGAGAGACCGAGAAGGGACATACCTGTGGATCAGTGAGGAGATATAAGAGGGGCTAGAGTTGTTCAGTGCTTTATAGGTGTGAGTTAGTGCCTTGAATTGACTCCTATAGCACACAGGAAGCCAATGTAAGGACTGGCAGAGGGGTGAGGTGTGAGAGAACCGACTAGAGAGGAAAATCAGTCTAGCAGCAGCATTCATTACAGGTAGTGTAGCCAATGTATACCGTAACGATGGAAATGTAAGTGTTTTAAATGCTCTTATTGGAAACATGAAGGACCAAGGCTATTCACTAACGTATAAAATGTCAGAAATTCTAATTTGCTTTAATCTCTGACAATTTACGGCATGATCAGTAATCCTGGGATTGTTTTAAAAAAGTTAGAAACAAAAAAGAGCAAAACAAAGAAGGGAAATGAGCGTGAGCTCGACCTTTCTGAGTGACACTGTTTACTAACGTAATGATGGAACATTAATCACTCTGAATAATAATGGGTGTATTCTCAATCCCCCGGCTCTATCCTGTCCTACACAGTGTACATATACATGTATCTGTATGTTTATAAACAAACCATCATTGCCACCCAGTACGAACAACTACCCAAGACAGTCTATAACAGCTAGACTGATATTTACCAAGTGCTCTCATTTCCCAATGTACAGCACATTGCCCGTTCTACTGATACTAATTATCATACAGCAATAGTACTGGGAGTGATACATAAAGATCTGTGCGATATATGGATATTCAGACTGTGAAAGAGATGTGTGGTGGTGGGTTAACAGGTGGATGGAAGGATGGATGGTTGGATGGACAGATGGATGGTTGAGTGGACAGATGGATGGTTGAGTGGATGGATGGATGGTTGGGTGGACGGACGGATGGATGGATGGTTGGGTTGACGGGCGGATGGATGGATGGATGGTTGAGTGGATGGATGGATGGTTGGGTTGACGGGCGGATGGATGGATGGTTGGGTTGACGGGCGGATGGATGGATGGATGGTTGAGTGGATGGATGGATGGTTGGGTTGACGGGCGGATGGATGGATGGTTGAGTGGATGGATGGATGGTTGGGTGGACGGATGGACGGGCGGATGGATGGATGGGGATGGATGGATGGTTGGGTTGACAGGTCGATGGATGGTTGGGTGGGTGGATGGATGGGTGGACAGCTGGTTGGCTGGGTGGGTGAATGGTTAGGTGGACGGATGGTTGGGTGGTGTGTAGAGGAAAATAGATGACAGAGAAACAAAGAGACAGATGTAGAGATTTAGATACAGACAAATTAACGCAGAGAGACAGTAAATAGCAAATGAAAAGGTATATACAAAAAGATACAGAGATAAACAGACAAGCCGCTGAGATATAGTCAGACATATAAAAGATGTAGTGACTGAAAGTAAATGTAAAATTAATAAGTGTATGAATAGATACATAGTGAGCTAGACAGGCAGATCGGAATATTTTACAATATGTAACGTGAGATATTGAGTTAGTGCTGTGTATATATTTTTTTCTTCTCATTGAACACATTTAATTGGCTACAATACAGATATTTTGTCGACAATAAATTACTACGATGTTTATTCCTAAAGCCCATTCTGCATGCTGTGTTTCTATAACAGAACTCAGCCCTTACCATCTCTACTGGGTAACAGTTCTATGAACTCACAAAGTTTTCTGTAAAATTATCACACTGCTGCTATGAGTGCTATATGTATTTTATATAATATAACAGAATGTGATCAATGTGTCATTAGCCAACCTTATCCCAAAACGCATCACATCACTGAAATCCTATCAGCAGCATACAGAATCAGTGAATAGACCGTGCGACTGATATATAATATCAAATAAATTCAATAGTGAACCACGTCTCATACAACATGCTTTCATCATTGTTACCATTACCAACACATGTCTTGTTTTATATATATTTATATTTCATATAGACACGTTTACAAATATGTAATAACATTTAGAATATGAAAAACATATGAACACATTACCTGTACAATAAAACAAGTCAAATTGTCACAAAACACAAAATATAGCAGATTCTAAAATTACTGGGATTTCACCCCAAAATGTATAGCATTATTAAATCTGAAAAAAAATGTGTAACCCCAGTGTTTACAGGTCTGTGTCTCACAGTCTGTTTGGAGAGGGGGTTAAATTATGGTAGTGAGGTGCATGCACCCCACTATGTAGATACACTAATGTACAGTACCCCAATCTATAGATACAGTAATATTTAGTACCCCACTCTATAGATATAGTGATGTTCAGTACCCCAATCTATAGATATAGTAATATTTCGTACCCCACTCTGTAGATATAGTAATGCTGTGCACCCCACATTTAACACTGATAAATTCCCAGTTTGCTCTATACATTGTAACACTCAGAATATCAGTTTTTGATTCTGTGCTCAGACTGAATCCCTTCTCTGAGCCTTCACCCCTAAATCCAACAGGAGAGGGAGAGAGAGTTATAAAGTCAGCTTACCAAGTCCCAGAATGTGCTGTGTCCCCCCCTGTCCCTGCTCTCTCCTGGACTGAGTGTGAGCTGTCACTGAATGTCAGGGGGAGAGGCCAGGGAGCTGGGGGCACTGTGACCAGCTCCCAAAAACACTCACTCAGCCTGGGATTGGCTGCAGCCTGGTGACATCACTGGGATCTCATCCCCTGCCAAATACTGCTCCTGATAGGGGGGTGTATTGTGATCACATTTACAGCTGGAAGTTTTCTCTGCTAGTCACATCATGTGATTGCTAGCTCTTGGGACCAGTATCATTTACTATAGATTTTAGATACCTTAAAGCTATACAGGCTGATTTCAAGCTCATTGGACTCCAAGGGGTATATTCACTAAACAGTGAATTGTGAAGAATTGACAAATTTTCCCATCTTGGATAATTTAGATTAAAATGTATAATCTTTCCATAGAACTACATTTCGTGGCTGAAGAACGAGTGCTTTGTACAATGACATAAGTTTAAATAACGGGCGGCACATTGGGTGGATATTAGCCATTTGACTCTCACGGGTCAGATCAGCTGGGTGGGCATGCCAGTGACATAATTAACATGATAACTAGGAATAGGGGCATCTCATCCTACCGCGCATTCATGCCAGGATAATGCCCCACATAGTAACCAGTCAGGGCTGCCAATAAACCGACACTGATTAAGCGCTGAAATACTGAGTGACCACGTTTCTCCGTTATCCCAACACTGCGTGGCAGAACCTGTCCGCCAGGTGACCAAGAGGAAGATGTGTGTCCCATGAACTGTTGTAATTCCTACACCGTTCACCTGATTTGGATGTAAATACCCTCAAATTAAAGCTGAAAGGCTGCAGTTAAAGCACATCGTTTGTTTCATCTCAAACCCATTGTGTTGGTGTATAGAGCCAAAAAGATTAGAATTGTGTCGATGTCCCAATATTTATGGACCTGACTGTATCAGTCTGCGCATTGCGCCAGCACAGGGAGCACAATGTATACAATTACCTTAATGTAAACGTGTAATTGTGCAGATTATATCTATATTAGACTTGTGAACAAAAAAAAAAAAAAACAGTGCACCCAGGGGAAAAAAATCTATATTTGGACAAACTGAATTTCACTCGTGTGGCGTCGGTGCAGAATAATTTCGCCCATGCGATCATTTTTGGAGAACTATTTCAGATTTCAGACAAATTGATATGGTGCAAAAATACGCCTATTAGTATGCTGCAAAACACACAAAAATTCATTTTTTCCACGCCCTCTCCCTTTTTCTGGTGTCATGAACTCAGAATGATGTAACAAACTAAACAGCTCGTCCATTGCCAGTTTTGTTTGTTGCCGGATTCGTCCATTCGGCGCTTCGGAGTTGAGGAATTCTGGCAAATTGCCGATCACCCAAAATTCGGATGGATTGCAATTTATTTGAAACCAAATGCACAAATCTAATTGATATCTAAATTATAAAAAAAATGAAACCCTTTAAATCCCTGACAGTAATAGCCTATTGTTACCTCACCCTGGTGAATGTGGTTCATTAAGGGAGTAATGTGAAAAAAAGAAGAAAAAACATATTTACCTCCGCAGGTAATTTTCCCCTAAATAATGACGTATGTGCGTATGGTGCTCACATTCAGCACTGTAAGGGTTAAACTAATTTCCATTACATGCTGTGGCTGCTAATAGGTGTAATATGTAATAAGTGAACCAAACAAACTCTATGTTTAGGTAATGTGCCCCACCTCCTAAACACACAAGTGCGAGTGCAGCGCTATTTAATGTTACTTACCCCTTTTTTTTTGTACGGGGTATATAGATAGATATATGTAAAGGAAGAAAATATAAAGAGAATTTGGTGCAATATGTTTTACCAATATCCAAAAGGAGTTCAAAAATATATATATAATCTCACTCACATGTTATAGAGCCTTTTGGATATATTTTATGGTGGCCGCCCGAATTCTGGCAGCGGGACTTGGTCGTCGAGTGCCTGGAACTGTTTTCGCCCAGGCACTCCCGCTAACACCAGTCACCATGGACCTACGGCCCATTCCACTTCCACTACACCTACACAAACAGCGTTTGGGAGTTACAGACTACCGAACAGGGGGAGAATTCTACAGGAACCAGCTTTCCTCTACCTTATGTGGTTTTTGTACAAAACCCCACGAACGGAGACCGGCTTTTGCCACAACTTCACTGGAACTATTTTGGGCTTCAACCTCGTGGCAGACCGATCAGAACTTCCCCATGATGGAGATCCAAAACTACCGAACAGATCTGGTTGATTTTTTGATATATTGTTCACCCAAATCCAGGCTTTCCATCTATTTTGAGGGTACTTTTGGGGTGGTTAAGAAATGCTTGATTTTTCTGTCCCCGAGAAAATATAATGAGCGATGTGTATTCCGATAATTATCTCTCAGGCACAGAGGATCATGGGAGGGATTTCCCTGTTTTTCTGTGTTAGAAACCCTATGTTGGGGCTTTTGCATAAAAAGCCGCGTGAGGCTCCAAATAAATCAGTATTCTCCCAGCATTAAGCCTTGGCTCATGTGTGGGGGGTTATGGGACATCGGCGATATTTTACCTTTGGGATTATTTTTGTTTGTTTATTGGGAAAAGGGCATCCGTGGCGGTGATACTCTGGCAGACTGCCACATAGAAAATAAATCTTTGTTCATTATATTTATCACTATACATTTTAATAAAGTATTTTTAATATTAATACATTAAATAGTATATTTAGTAATAGATTTTATTATCCAACCAATATCCTGTTTGTTGTTTTGATCTCAGAAATGTGGGTAAAACATGGCCAGTGCTTGTGGAATCATGGGATTTCCATGATTTGCATACTATGCCAACACCACACTCTTGCATGATCTGTTGGGTTCTGATATAATTGGAACTGTTCTTCAAAATTAACATGGCGCCCTGGTAAAGAGACTAAGTACTGGGCTGTAAGCTCCCTGAAGCAGACAATGTAATCTAAACACACAGAAATCTCTGATTTAGCATCTCAGTTACAATTCATAGACATCCCCTTTTAGAGGGCAGGGTAGAACTGATATTAATATGGCTTATATTAGACATACACCTTCAAATGGGACATCTTGTTATCCCACATAAATAAACCTGTTTGTTTCGCCCAACCTTTCTGTGTAGAGGTGTAATAATGTGTCCAAGGTGTCAATATAGGGGTATTAGTATAGGGCTGTCATGGATATAAGTATAGAGGTTTAATTGTGCAAATATTGGGGGGTCAGTTTAATAGTGTCAAGAAGTAAGAATAGGGGAGTTAGGGAATAGGAATAAGGGCAGGTGTCACGGTCATGGTGAAAATATAGGGGGGTCAGGAATAGAGGGTGCAAGTGCCTATGGATAGGGCTGTCAGGGTGTAAATATTAGGGGGTCAGTATAAGGGTGCCAATGAATAGGAGAGCCAGGAAATATGAATATGGGTGTGATGGTGTAAGTATTGGGGTGTCAGGGCATAAGTACTGGAGTATGATGGTGTAAGTATTGGGGTGTCAGGGCATAAGTACTGGAGTATGATGGTGTAAGTATTGGGGTGTCAGGAGTAGGGGGTGTGATAGCGTAAATATTAGGGTGTCATGGTGTAAGTATTGGAGTATTATGGTGTAAGTATTGGGGTGTCAGGAATAGGGGGTGTGATGGTGTAAATATTGGGGTGTCATGGTCTAAGGATAAGGTTGTCAGTGTGTACATATAGGGGGGTCAGAGAATCGGCATATGGGTGTCACGGGGTAAGTATAGGGGTGTAACAATAGGAGAGTATCCATGTGAACAAGCATAACGCCCCATCACTTTTTACACCTCCCTGGATGCTTTAGACTGCAGCTACAATCATCCTCAGCCAGATGAAATGGATCAAACTTTGGGAAGAATGATTGTAATATGGGGAGGACGGGCCTGGCCTGTGAGATTCCTAATATGAGATTTATTTTCCTTTAACCCATTGCCTGCCAGCTGACATTGAGCCGGGCTCCCTGCTGCATCCTTTACGCCGAGATTTTATCTGGAAATTGGGAGAAGAATTCTAATCAGGAAGCGAGAGCTTGAACTAGCCGAGGGAAACTGTAAACTGCGCGCACTATCACAGAGACGCAGACTCTTCCTGCCCCTTATCTGGACCAAGAGAGAGCATGGACTTCCCGGCAGGATGAAAACTCTTCACATCTGCCTTATATATAAATATGAGTTTATATAAATACGCGAGTTCCAGGATGACAAACAACGAGGGATTATAGCTACGTACTATCTCCTTATACGCAGAACTGGGATCTGCACCATTTTATTTCAATAAGTAATTTCAGGAACAAATTTGAACTGCTGTGCCTAATCTAACCCAGTGGTGTCAAACTCTGGCCCTTCAACTAATAGACCAGAACACGTACTATGGCTGAGAGTGCTTTAGCTGTCGGATTACCAGTGAAATTATGTAATATTTACAAATTATAAATAAAACACCACAGCGGCTCCTTACAACATAACGCAATGTGGTGAAAGCAACAAAAATAATACTCAGAAGGGTATGATCGTATTGTGTTTGGATAATTTTATGGTTAATAAGAACGTCCTTCAGATAACACTAAGACCCGAATAACGGATTGTCCAACAGATCGAGACCCTTTTTTGGGATGGATGGCATAAAGGTTGGATTTGATGGTAGCGATTTACAGACCGTGAACGGTATTACTCAGCTCCTACAGTCTGGCTTGTTTTGATACTCTGGGTTCGGAGTTAGTGCGTTTCAGTAAATTCTTCAGATGGGATGACCAGGAGGTCCCCACCCATCTCTTGATGATCCACTGTCCCCCGACGCCCAGCTCTGAGCTAATTCTTCTTTCACTAAGTTTAAACTTCCTGTCTTTATTCCCAAAGCATGTTCTCTCTGACACGGAAAGGGCACACTCCACAGTACGGAGGCAAATTAGCCCACAGAGGTGGAAAGGTCATATTTCTTTGCCTGAACTTCCTTTTCTTTGGGGTACCCCACCCTTTCCTTCCTAAAACCCCAAAACATAAAACAAAATCAGGTCAGCAGTTAGGTTTGAAGCTACTCGCAATGTGAATGCAAAAAGGGCGATTCATATGAACAGCTGGGACTTGTTTTGCAATCCTGTCCTACAAAACACTAAATTCTTAGATGGTGACAGCACATTGGGCGATCCCCACCCCTACATCTGCATCGGCCAACTAAGAAAACGGCTTCTTTGTGTCATTCAAAGAGGTACAACTGGCAGTCCTCAAACAAAACAATAAAAAAGGTGCATTGAAGGAACTCAGAGAGGCTCGTCTGATAATGTGATGGCACCTTTCACCCAGCAAGGGTTACAGTCTTCATTCATCAAGCCGTGTTCATTCACGTACAACGCCAGCCATTAATGGAGCCTCCAAGAGGAAATGAAATATAATTTTTTTCTTTAACTGAACTACCCCAATGACACCTTTAGAGTGCAAGCTCAATGACAGCCACACGTTCTTACCCGGGAGTTTGTTTAAAAGTATCAGTGTGCTACGCTGTAAGCTCATGGGGCAAAGTCGCTCTGCTCATATCGTATTGGTCTTTTTATATGTGGTTTTGTAACCCATAATCCGTACGGTACAGTGGGATAGATTGGTCTCTAATAAAAATAAAATAATTTACTGCAAGATAACACAATGTTTATGAAAATTAAACAAAATGCATCATGGGTATACGATCCTCTGAGCTTGCAATCTATTTGTAATTAGAATGATAACCTCAGGATGCAGTCATTTTCCAAAATAAAATCTACTAACAAATGTGTGTGTATATACAAACATATTGACATGCACACAAAAGGTACATGTATGTTCGTATGTATTAAAGGAATACGAAAGTCATCCAGACGACTTCATTACAACGAAGTGTTCTGAGGGCAGTGGTCCTGTCCTTATAAACCCTGTAATGTAAGACACTGACCTTTTTTTAGAAACTGTAATATTCACAATGAAGGGTCAAATCCATCTCTTCTTCAGTCTGCCTGACCATGACAGTAGTGGCGCTTTTGCTGCACTGACCAATTACGTGATGCAGAAACTTAGATGGACATGCAGTGCATGCACGTAAGGTCCCCAACACTCCCTGGGGGGGAGGGACAGACCTGTATGTAACAAGTGACAGGAGTATAGCTACACTACAACTTATACTGAAAAATGTTCAGAGGTTCACGCTCTGTTTCTGATGTTGATCCGATTTGCAGCAATGGTGCCAGAAAATGGGAGCAGATACTTTACTGAATCTATAACGACAAGAAGATTTCTCCTTTAATCAACAAGCTGTCATTGCTCATAATATGTAGAATCTCTACAAAATCAAATCCCTTCTTTGGGCAGAATATTCCAGATCTTCTTTGTGCTGTATATAAACTCTAGTACTGATGTTCTTGGTAGAGTCCTGTTAATTAAGCCATATGCCATTGATGGTTTGCACTGGCCCTGTGTACAGATGTGTAGTGTCGTTATATTCTCTATGACACTATTTTTTATATTAAAGGATCACTATATGGTCAGGAACACACATGCCTTAGCAAAATCTTACTGTATTCAAGTCAGAAGCTGTAACGCTGCATGCTGTTAGACTCAGAAAAACAAGCAGTCTGCTGACATCATCAGAAGTGGTAGCCTGATCCAATCACAATGCTTCCCCATAGGATTGGCTGAGACTGACAAAGAGGCAGATCAGGGCAGAGCCAGCAGGATGCAAACACAGCCCTGGCCAATCAGCATCTCCTCGTAGAGATACATTGAATCAATGAATCTCTATGAGGAAAGTTCAGTGTCATGCAGAGGGAGGAGATACTGAATGTTTGGATGCATTTTAGGCAGCCATAACCCAGGAAGGATCTCTAACAGCCATCTGAGGAGTGGCCAGTGAAGTTATCACTAGGCTGTAATGGAAACACTGCATTTTCTCTGAAAAGACAGTGTTTACAGCAAAAAGCCTGAAGGTAATGATTCTACTCACCAGAACAAATTCACTAAGCTGTAGTTGTTCTGGTGACTATAGTGTCCCTTTAACCCCTTAAGGACACATGACATGTCTGACATGTCCTGATTCCCTTTTATTCCAGAAGTTTGGTCCTTAAAGGGTTAAACAAAGCAGTTTTTTTTTAGCTTTACTTAAACTAAGATCTTCCATTCCCCTTATCAAAATTTTAGCAGTCTTTCCATTGATATCCTTCCATAAAACATATTTTATCTATTTAGCACGGAATAGGGCAGGACTATACAAGTCATGGACCTAACTACAGTAGCTCTGTACAGGATATATTATATACAAATAGAATGTAAGGGTCAGTAAGAGCTTGGATGATATGTGCTAGCAATATACATTTGCCACAGAGCTTATGACTAAGTTAGGTGCAGGAAGGGTAGAGTGGAAGGAAGAGGTGGTTTAGGCACAGGTTTTGACCAAGCAGGTTGAATTGATGGTGGAGAGTTTTTGATATCGGATCCAGAATGAGCTCTCTGAGTTTGCTATGTGGGACGGACTGAATTACTCCTTTATATTTTAAATGCCAGAGTTACAGTGAAAACACATTCATGGACACTTTCAGGAGAATAACTAGACAGGAGATGGTAGATCATGGTGTAGCTTGAGTTGCATTAACCTCAATAATCTCTGTATAAGATAGGATAGCCACGATTTAATATTTTGAATAAGGTTTTTTTTTGGTTGTTTGGTTTTTAAAGGATTTAATACTTTAGGATAAACTATTAAAGTGATTTAATATTTTGAAAAACTTTTTTATATATTGGTATATTTTTATATATTTGATCATTTCATATTTTGGAATTTAAAAAAATTAATGTTTGTTCAAAAATATTGAATAATTTGAAGAGCTTATCCAAAAATATTAACATCAAGGCCTATGAGAAAACGATTCAATATTCAAGTGATGTTACACGCCCCGGCTGTCAATACAAATTGACGCTTTTATCAACGAACCTGGTTACACCCCTCATGCTGTCAATCATACAACGGGTCCCTTTACTTCCTGGTTTGTTTAGCTCAGTGGGGATAATCTCAAGAGGCAGCAATTGCCCAGAGCACATGCCTTGCAAAGACTTCTCATTGAGCTGCATCTGGAAGTGTGTGATTGGACAGCCACAGAAAGTCTGGGCAGGACTGAAAGGGTAGGGCTTCAAAGGCTGCAGACAAGAGATCTGCCTGGTTTTACAAATTGTTTTTAAATATATCCCAATGAAAAAAATGCAAAATTAAATCAAACATGTCAGTGGGGTTTAACAACTAAACAGTAATTGTTTGTTATTGGGGAAGGGGAGTGTACCCTTATACTGACATAGAATAGAAATTATGACCTAAAAGAGAAATTATTAAACGGCTGAAAGTGACTTTTTAAGAGTGTTTTAGTCATCAGTACATAAATCTCACTTAAACAAGTTGTCCTTCACAGGAGGATCGAGTCAAAAGTGATTCATTACACAGAATCAGCAGGTGGTTGGATCATGACATAATTACTTAATATTTAAAAAAAAAAAAAAGTGATAAATTACAGAAAGCTCTCTATCAAAAATCGTATTCCAAGTATTTTGCAGTGAACTCATCCCACCCACTGAATTGAAGAATCCTACAGAGAGTAGCAGCGATGTATAAACTGTCTTATTCTGGGTATCTCCAAATTAATTCAGCATTGCGTCACAGAGGACGTGAGACCCATCAAAAGGACATGGTCAGCACATTTCCTCTGGGTTTAACTTTAACCCTTGCAGGGTTCACCCCTTCTGCAATGAATCTGCTAACATAGCAAATAAATATATACACAAATAAAATGACTACTATTAATTTAAAAAAAAATATTAAAATAAATCAAAATCATGGGGAATGAAACACATTCACAAATTTAAGTTAATATTTCATGAACAGGTTATTTCAACAGGCAAATAAGAGTAGCCTTTAAAGCTTGCAATCTAATTTACCCAAAAAGTTATTTTTCTCCCAAACAAACCCAGTTTTTTTAGATTAGATGTTGGGTCACAAATCTTTGGCTGGATATATAACCTGACCATTCTTCATTATAATTCAACACCTCAGGGTTTATAGTCTAAACACTAAATATTTGTGAATTAAAAACCACAATGCAAACTTTAAGCAAAATAGCGCATGTGGAAAAAGCTTTCAAACCCCCCATAAACATACATGGCGTACCTGGAAAACAGGGTATTGTAGGCAATTGTTAAATAGGAAAAATTATCCAGATTTATAATTTTTTACCTAGAGTGTAACTCAGAAGGTAATGGTCTAATCTCCAGGTTAATTTGTTTAATCTCATATCTTTTTCACACTGTCCCGTCAAACAGTGGGGCTTTTTTACTAATCCAGGATTTGCAGAAAATAGCAAAAGGGAATTAAATACTTTTCTATCAAAACAACCCAGAAAAATCCAGCCTTAATGCTGCAATTTACTTTTCAACTCATTACAAATGACATGTTAGTGTAAAACATGCAATCCCCCATCATTCCTTAGGATCAGAACTGATCCCTCTGTTTGCTCCCATAAATGACCATTTTAAAGATTAAATAGGGTTTGTCACTAAACACCTTCATTTAGTGAATTCAATCCCAATGTCAAAATAGCTCCTCTGGGGAAAAAAAATGTCCAACTTCGCTTTAGTCCCTACAAGTTAGACAGTTAAAGACTTACCATAGGTGGAAGCAGGTGACCAGGTAGCGCCAAATATCTGATTAAAACAGTCGCACATTTTCAGATTGATTTTTTTTTTTAAATCTCTCTTTCATTCACCTAATTCGGTCCTTTTCCCAGCTCCTCTATATCCCACTGCAGCGTCAGTCCCCAGCACAGCGTAAGCCTCGACATACAGGGAGAATGCAATATAACCCCACTAGATTAATACACAGGCCGCGTCAGCATTTCACAAAAGCTGCTCGCAAACATCCACCATTGTCCGTCGCGGGGCGGGTTTAACGAAGCAAGCCAAAATCCCTTGTTTGAAGCTTTGGGGACAGCGAGAAAAGACAGGCATTGGGATAAAAGTGCAGTGCTAGTTTGTCTAGACCAAGTCAGTTGACAAATAGGGGGGACAGGGTGTTGCGGCAGGTCAAAAAAAGGTGGCACAGGCACTCTCGATTCTATAACTGATACCAAGCAGAGAAATGGAATGCTCGGTTAGGTGCCCAGTCGAGGATGTAAGCTGGGGTAACTGTGCCAATCTGTGATGCCACGTTTGACGCAGTATACTTACGGAGGGCTATTCATTAAAGTGAATTGTGAGGAATTTAAAGCGAATTTCAGAGATTATGCCAGACTATCTGAAAAATATCACCTCACTTGGAGAGAGAATTTCCCACTTCAACCAACTCCTGTGGACTTAAACTGTAATTCCTGCAAAACTCCACATAAGTGAATAACCCTGATAGATTACATTTAGCACACTTTAAAGCAGGGGGTTTTTTAACCGGTAAGGTATGCCTTCCCTGGGGAAGTGCAATGTTCCTCATTACCATTTTTGCAATTGCTTTTTTTTTTTTTTTAAATAATTGTTTACATACAGTTGAGTTGTAATATTCAGATTTTTTTTTTTTTAATGTTGCTGACATCCAGGTAATCAAAAATTGTATAATCAAAATGTTCAGTAAAATGAAGACAGTGGTTATGTGCAGTTGCGTTTTGTAAAATGAAGACTCTCAGTTTAGCTTAATTTTGTACCAAACCTCCGTGCCAGAAATGACTCTCACAACAACTCCGCCCTCGGCGACCATTATTGTGAGATTGCAGTGCACAGTCTGAATGACCACAACAATGGATTTTTACCAAGCGGTTTAATTTTAATTATTGCTAGCTTAGTTAACCGTTTGTCTTTTCTCTACAATGATAGAAGTTGTTCCATTATTTAATCTGCTGCTATAACTATATATATATTCATTCTGTGCCCTAAGAGAAAATGTCAACAACAAAAAAAAGGAAGTAGAGTGACATGCTACGTTGGCTGTGATGGGATTTAAAAACATTTTTTATTATTTGTTTTTAAATGTGGTTTTATGCGCAAAAAATGATTATAAAAACATTTCCACGTCAGTTATGTAACTGATCCATTATTAATTGCTTTTGGAAAAGAGGGGAGGCGTGAGTTTTTACTTTACGGTCATGGGAAGCGTGAGACTAAAAGGTTAAGAATCTTGGCTTTAATCAGGGTAATACACAGATTCCAGCGCCTTTGCTAGACAGTGTCACAGTTGGAGGTGGTGTTGGTGCTTGCAACGTTCACGTTTAAGCCAAGGACAACCATCACACTATCAAAGCACATCTGGAACATTCCACTCCATCGAGATTATAGCTCGTTGGGCAGACCCTCTGCAAAATGAAAGAGCCAAAGCGCACCTCGCAGATGTGTCAGAACATAGACCGCCATCCATGCGACGCTGGAGAATGGATCTTTGGAGCTGGAATTCAGTTTGGTTTTCTAGTTTCAGAATGTTTATACATCCCGAGCAGCAGTCAGTTATCTGATACAGCAGATGTGCAGAGCGTACATTAATATAACTGGTGGTGGAGATTGGCCGGCTGTGTTGTATACACCGATTTAGGGCAGGCACGGCTGCAGAAGAAACATACCTACAGGGAGACTGTGGAAAGACATAAATGGGTAAAAACTGAAAAGGCAGTATGGACACTGTTGGGCCAGGGATCCCGAAAATGTAGATCCCTAGATATTGCAGAACTACAACTCCATTGCTGCTTTGCCTACCTTTGGAAAGCTTCTAGAATTACTTTCTGGGGTCTTGAAAATTTATTTTACCACTAGATCAAAAGGTTTTGTTTTACATATTAACTGCAGTGAAGCAGTCATACACGTGACCAAACAAGAACTGCAAAGGGTCTAAAAAAAACAACAACAAAAAAACGAAAGAGGGACTTTTCCTCCTCAATTTGGACACTTCAGAGCTACATGAACCAGAGGATTACGTTATAATCAGACAAATTGTATGTAGTCTTTGTGACATTTGATTCGGAGATGTTGGTTATGCATGTTCTGTCCCTTTAAACTGCAATGGGGGCTCTTGGCAGACAGATGACATGCAGCAGACTAATTGGACCGAGGTAGTGGAATGAACCGTACTAACATGGTCCCTGCTTTCATTACAGCAGACCGAGGAATGGAGAAAGAACAGACCCAATACCTGCTGCCCACACTCTCCTCTAGTCAGTGTTTTTGTACATAAAGTGAGAGTTATGAGGAATAAGACATTTAAAGCATGTCTAGTATACAGCTTATTGTATTTGTTCTGGCAGGTAGAATATTCCCTTCAGGATTTCTGCAGGTTTATTTCAGAGAAAATGCAGTGTTTACATACCTCCACTGGCCACTCCTCAGATGGCTGCTAGAGGTGCTTCCTGGGGTCGTGCTGCACAGTAAAATATACCCATCCAGAGAATGACTGCAGGACTGGCAATGCAATGACTTCATAAGGATTGTAACCTTTAATGTCATAGGCCGGTTAACACATTAATATTTAAGAAGACTGATTGGTCACCACAAATCACCCAAGAGATTCTGTGCTGAAATGCAGCCCAACAGTTAAGCATCAGCAGGACTTTCTCCAAGCACCATAACCACTACAGTGGTCCGCTATGCACCAATTCCAGTCTTCATTAAATCAGTCAGAGCTGAAACGCCAGATTAGAAATCTGAGCCTTGATAACTTTCATTCCACACCAGCTGCACAACGGTCAGACTACACTTTTAGTGGACAGATAGTTATTCTCTACAACATGTATTCCTACCTACCGACTGAGCCTCCAGCCAGGCTTTACTGCTTTATAATAAGAGGAGGATGTTCTAAGCCACCTTCATAACTGCAAAGAAGACAAACAAGCTTAATGCCAAGTTGTATTTTATTACAGGTCTAAATAAATTACGGTTTGATCACGTTTTCTAAACCACATGCATAGTGCAACAGGTTAAACACCTAATTAGTGCAATAACGGACAGAGCAGAGCTCCCAGAGAAATAAAGCTTGAACAGCAATCCTGAGATTTGTGGGCCAGATAACAGTTCTGGAGTTACAACACAATTGTTAACAAACAGCAGCAGCGCATTAAATAAATATCAGAGAAAAAAAAAAAACTGCATTTTCTTAGACAGGAAAATAAATTCACTGCTTCAAGTCCTTGAAAGTTAAAGTGCATTTTGTCCAAAATATCAAATTTCCACTTCAGTTTGTTTTCCTTCTTTCTTGCAAAGCTCAGTCATTAGTGAAAGCCAGCCCGATCCATCCTTCATTACTAGAAAAACAAATGACAACACAGACTGACGGCACGACCTCTGGGTACATGAACACAATCCAAGGTATCACCATTTTATTTAGCATCCTCGGCGGTGGATTAGCGTAAAGCAGTAGTTTGACTACATAACATTCTCTCTGTGAGAGAGATATATATAAACCACAAGTTATAAGATATTCATCTGCATAAATTCCAGAATGTGATGTCACCTTTACACCAGAAACACGTTATCTGACCAAAGAACACATCAATGTGAACATGAAACAAGCTCACAGTGCTTCCTGAAATGCCAGGGCTGAAACAGAACATCTGGAGTCATGAAAGCGCATTAGTAGAGCGTTACGGCCATGTCATTAGTTAGATAAGGAAGGGGTCTAACTAAACAGGATTTAAAGCGGACAGCTGACAGTAAGTTAGGTGCACACTAAAGAAATAAATTATACACAGGCTGTAGAAAACACACGTCATTTTGCAGTTGATAAATTATGAGGTTTTCGATTACAAAGTGTTTTGTTACCTCAAACCTTATCCTTGTATTGTATGCAACGGTAGAGATATCTTAAGTGGTTTTCCCTCTAAAAAAGATCAAACAAAGATTAACACCAGATACTGGGCTAGTTATTCCGCATGGGAAACACTAGTGCAGGCTGCACATACCTTCATAGTGACGGGTCTCTTCACAAAGAGCCACATTTCCAAGCGCTTCGACAAACGCTGTGTTGTTGACGCATGTTGTAAACCACCGGTTAACACTGATGTACGGCTTACGAAAAATTGGATCAAAAACCTGCATTCCGAGACAGGGGTAACACCGGTATGTTACAGGCCTGCCATCCTGAATCACAAATTTATCTAAAGTCACAAAAATTTAGATCTGAAAAACCAGCAGAGGAATTGTATTCAGTGTGGAGCAATAAAAAGAACCTTCTTATAACTGGGTGATGTGAAACCTGCATCTTCAGACTGGTATGAAAAGCAGCTTTAAAGAGTTCTTAAGGCCATTTGGCATTATCCCACGTGGTTCACAGAAACATTGGGAGATATGAACGTCAGAACAGGACGTTTAGCAGGTTATGCTAGAATAATCTACAGCAGGGGTTCCTAATTGTCATTTTAGTGAATAAAGTACCAGCTTAATGCAGTCTGACAATTCTAAAACAGTCTATTCAGAGACCACTAGAAGCACTTCCTGTTCTGCACGCTTTCCCGGGCCAATGTTTTGCATCTCCACGCTGTGCATGTTGAAGCTGAACAGACCCCACCGGGATCTACTAATCCAATGCCCGTCTAGTAGGAGAGATCAATTGGTGCAGCGTATACCAGTAATGAAGATCTCAGCTGGTGAGGAGCAGCAATGACTAAGACCATGCAGTGTATACAAAATTATTTTAACTTTTCAGAGGGGCCCAATTATCTAAATAGTTATAAAAGCACCAGCATTCTTTCCAATTACTGTAAGCCCTGTATAAAAATGCATTTCTAAAGGCCAAGGACCGGAGAGCAGGAGCAGAGGACCAGAGAGTTGGACACAACGTAGTATTTAATATTCACTGAAAGGGGCTCCACCAATGACCTGTTACTGGCTCATTCTCGCAGCCTTTACTGCAGGGTTACCCAGTCCTTAAAGAATGTGCTCCCATGTCACTTTAAAAACTCTGCAATACATCAAAAGGCCTTAAAAGCAGGGGTCAAGTCATGGGGGGGAAAAAGTGTGGGAACTCACCAAAGATGCACCTTCCCCCCCCCCCCTAAAAAAATAATGATATACACACACACACACACACACACACACAAGGTGTGACAGTGTGTGGAGGCTGAAAGTAATTTTGGATGGTGATATTGTATGGAGGGGTGTCAGTGTGTGGGAGGGTGACAGGGTGTGTGGAGACAGAGTGGGGATGACCGGGACGTGAGGTGACAGCCACACACACAAAACTTACCCAAACCATAAGATTATTTTTTTTAAAGCAACCCAGCCTCCCTACATTTGGGAGAGCTGGGTGGATTTTTTTACCTGGGGTCCAGTCGTGTTGCTGGCCGGTCTGTGCCGGTAGGAAGGCAGGAGGGCGGTTAAACTCCAGAGGGAGTTGATGCATGGAGCCGGAAAAGGACATCCTATTCCAGCTCTAGGCATCACTCTGCAGCG